CACAACCCTTCCACGCCCTCACAATAGGTTTGCTGTCATTGTTTCCACAATCCTCCCAAGCCCTCACAAGAGGTTTGCTGTGATTGTTTCCACAATCCTCCCACGCCCTCACAATAGGTTTGCTGTCATTGTTTCCACAATCCTCCCAAGCCCTCACAAGAGGTTTGCTGTCATTGTTTCCACAACCCTCCCACAACCCCACAATAGGTTTGCTGTGATTGTTTCCACAATCCTCCCATGCCCTCACAATAGGTTTGCTGTCATTGTTTCCACAACCCTCCCACAACACCACAATAGGTTTGCTGTCATTGTTTCCACAATCCTCCCACGCCCTCACAATAGGTTTGCTGTTATTGTTTCCACAATCCTCCCAAGCCCTCACAATAGGTTTGCTGTGATTGTTTCCACAATCCTCCCATGCCCTCACAATAGGTTTGCTGTCATTGTTTCCACAATCCTCCCACTCCCTCACAATAGGTTTGCTGTGATTGTTTCCACAATCCTCCCAAGCCCTCACAATAGGTTTGCTGTCATTGTTTCCACAATCCTCCCACTCCCTCACAATAGGTTTGCTGTGATTGTTTCCACAATCCTCCCATGCCCTCACAATAGGTTTGCTGTCATTGTTTCCACAATCCTCCCACGCCCTCACAATAGGTTTGCTGTCATTGTTTCGACAATCCTCCCTTGCTCTCACAATAGGTTTGCTGTCATTGTTTCCACAACCCTCCAACGCCCTCACAATAGGTTTGCTGTCATTGTTTCCACAATCCTCCCACTCCCTCACAATAGGTTTGCTGTGATTGTTTCCACAATCCTCCCATGCCCTCACAATAGGTTTGCTGTCATTGTTTCCACAATCCTCCCACGCCCTCACAATAGGTTTGCTGTCATTGTTTCCACAATCCTCCCAAGCTCTCACAATAGGTTTGCTGTCATTGTTTCCACAATCCTCCCAAGCCCTCACAATGGGTTTGCTGTCATTGTTTCCACAATCCTCCCACGCCCTCACAATAGGTTTGCTGTCATTGTTTCCACAATCCTCCCAAGCCCTCACAATGGGTTTGCTGTCATTGTTTCCACAATCCTCCCAAGCCCTCACAATGGGTTTGCTGTCATTGTTTCCACAATCCTCCCACGCCCTCACAATAGGTTTGCTGTCATTGTTTCCACAATCCTCCCAAGCCCTCACAATGGGTTTGCTGTCATTGTTTCCACAACCCTTCCAGGCCCTCACAATAGGTTTGCTGTGACTGTTACCACAACTCCCATGACCTCACGAGTTCATCCGTCTTTCCTTCCACTTCTCAAAGGCAGAGACCATATATCGGTATATGGTCTCTGTCAATAGGTACAAATTTTCGCAAAAACTATTCAAGTTAGAGAAATGAATTATTACTCACTGATATTACTGGTTGTGATCTTAAATGATTTCGAAAATTGGTATCTTGAATTTGTTTATTGCCCTTGCTCCATGCTTTTCAACTTTGTGCATACTGCGTGAAATGGGAACAAGTTTTCTCAGAAACTACTGAAATTACATGAATGAAAGTTTGGATGCTTATCTAAGAGATACTTGTCAAGACTGAGTTCGAAAAATTGGTGCCGATTATTATTTTTTTCCAGAGTTACTTCCCTTGCTACATGTTTTTTTAAGATTTTGAGCATACACAGTTACGGCCCTAGATCCACATTATTAAGTGCATCGTGTCTACAATGGGAACAAGGTTTCTCAGAAACTACTGAAGTTAGCTTATCTGAGAGATACTTGGAGAATTGGTGCCACAAATTATTTTTTCCAGAGAAGGGGTATTTTGTGTGTATCAATTCCACATTTAATCATTTTTTCGGAGGACTTAAAGTGACCCTGGTGCCTATCTCTTCTTAGTCTTTATAGGACTCTTTTTTATAGTTATATTCACTAGTATAATGTCCCCCATGGCGTGGGATAGTGATGACGTTGTTTTCTTGTTATAGTTGTTTTTATTTGCAAAATAAGGTTTTGTATCTATGTTTTTATGTATCCTAACATTGATAGCCATGTCGTTGTGTTATATGTGGTCATGTGTGTGCTGTCTATGCGAATTTCCCTGGACTTGTGTTCAAATAACTGAATGTTAAAGAGAGGCTGTGTGGTCGCATGTTGTCCATCCATCAGTTTTTACATCTTCTCTGAAACAATAATGTCTGTGATGTTGTGACTACATAAATCACCCCAGCAATAGTTTTGTGTATGGAATATCCTCACAGAATTTAGACAGACTTTGAACATGGCTGCCATATTGGAAAAGTGCTTCTGGACCATTTTCCATCCATTTCTGCTTGTGTCATTGTGAAATTTCATATTCAGTGTAGTTGAAAAGAATTGTCTATGGATATCCCAGGGCTTCTCCCAGAATATTGAATTTCTCAGAAATGCTTGAGATCCAGGTCGAGAATAGGTCTCCAGCAACCCATGCTGTAAAAGGCAATTATGCTTGTCATAAGAGATCGGGATCGGGTGGTAACGCTTGCTGACTTGGTTGATGCATGTCATCGTATCCCAATTGCATAGATCGATGCTCATGATATCTCAATAACTGGATTGGCTGGTCCAAACTCGATTATTTACAGACCGTTGCCATGTAGCTGGAATATTGCTGAGTGTGGCGTTAAACAACAAGCTGTCTACCTGTCTGGGAGGATTTTTTGGAAATCTATACTTTGATAGTGAACTTTATGATTTAATATTGCAAATATTTCAGGTTATCCAGGTGAGCTTCAGAGCTAGCTTTACAATCATTAATGTCAGCTGTAAAGATCATGTTCTGTTTATTTTTGGGTACCTGCACTGCAATATGGATGAAAATGGATTAAATGACATCAGGAATTGTGTGCAAACATCCTCACACAATTTTACCTGTGTACATTTTCTACTTTAAAAATTCCTCTCAATGTTTCAAATGATCCCACAGAAACAGGGACATATAGGATTGTAAAATGATTTTGTTTTTTGTTTTTGTGTTTAACGCCACACTGAGCAATATTCAAGACTCTGTAAATAATCTGGACGAGACGATCCAGTGATTGACATCATGAGCAAGCATCAATTTACGTACTTGGATACAATTACATGCATCAATCAAGTCAGCGAGCCTGACCACCTGATCCTGTTAGTTGCCTCCTACGACAAGCATAAGTTGCTGAAAACCTATTCTACCCCGATCTTCACAGGTCCCTTGTAAGATGAATGTGAATATGTGTCTTTGATTACGCAAGTCGAGATCTATTTTATTGCTAGTTTAATGGATACACAAGGGGCAAGATTATGGAAATCTGGTGACAATCTGTTTCATGTTTGTAATGATTTAAGAATGCTTCGGGGAATGCCACATGATGTTATAGTTTTCTCCCTTGAGGTGTGGCCACAAGCAGTTATCTCCCTTGAGGTGTGGCCACAGGCAGTTATCTCCCTTGAGGTGTGGCCACAGGCAGTTATCTCCCTTGAGGTAGCTGTTAAAGGCCCAGTGGGGATTTCATGTTGGAAATGGTCACCTGCAGGCCATGACACATTAACTATAGTGATGTGAAAGAATCGGGTGGTCCTTGACTTCCTTTGAGTAGTATAAAAGAAGATGTGAACACGGGTGGCCCAGCTGTCTAAGATTCTGCTGTTCACTGTTCGGAGTTGTGTCCCAAAGGTGTGCCAGAATGCGATGGTTGTGAGTTTGAATCCTGGATTGTCGATGATTATGTTATATTCTTGGTTTGTCAGAACCATACTTGTTTTCATGGGTCTCTCAAAAGTGGTAAAAGACTTGTATCACTTCGGCCTTTCCTCCCACATGATCTGATTTTAATGAGATCAGACAGAACCTATCTCCAGTACTCCGCAGGCTTATATTCACTCATCCTCTTTATCTCTAGAGATAGCATTTCGGTAAACCTACTCTACCCCCTGGATCCATTACCTTGGATCTCGCAATCTCAAATTACTTGCCCTTGAATTCCATTTGAAAATGCGACCTCCGTGGTCTAGTGGTAGAGCGTCCGCCCGGAGAGCGGAAGGTCCGGGGTTCAATCCCCGACCGCGTCATACCAAAAGACGTTAAAAGATGGTACTTGTTGTTACCCTGTCTGGCGCTCGACATTAAGGGGGAAAACAAGGACTGGTCGGCTCGGAGTCAGTATACTGTGTCTGAGTGGGGTATTCATGTTAAACTGCGGCATGGTATCTCAGTGAGCTAGCACTATAAATCGGCATCAGTCCGGACTAGTACAAGCAGCCACACAAACACACACATACATGCACGTCGCTATATAAGTGCAATAATCTTGGACGCGACGTTAAACCCCATTTCACCTCACCTCACCCATTTGAAAATTTGATTGGCTACACTACTGCGTCTAATGTACCAATCAGAATGTGAGTTACAAACCAGACTCAATGTTGTGTTGGCCAGTCTTATTGATTATAATGAAGATTACGAGAAATTCAACATTGAAAACTGACTGATATGCGAAAGAAAGCCCTAAAACCCTTTTGATGGAAAAGATGTCTTGATGTCTTCATGTCTATCAAACTGGCAGTGACTTTGGTTTCTAGGTAATGAGTTACCTTCTTACCCTTTCCCATAAGTCGACGTTTGATTGGCCGGCAAAATGTTAATGAAAATCAAGGGCAGGTAATTTGTGATCGCAAGAACCATGGGAAGGGATCCAGGGAGTAGTGTAAGTTTACAGAAATGCGAGCCCAGGAGATACAGAGGATGATATACACAAGGGTCCTCATTATAATTCATAACCTGTGAACTAGTGATGGTGGACTGAAGCCAGTGAAGTGTGTTGGATGTGCCACACCCTCCGTTCGTGTCAATTCTGTATACACTTTGTTTCAGGTTCGTGACATTTGGGCATATGAAAAGTGAAGTAACTGTGAAAAAGTTTGTTTAGTCTGTGTTGGTGTTTGTTCCGATTTGTTGAGACAGATGTTTAATACGACCATCTTCTTTCTGCTGCAGAAGGGGTGTCGACTGAGGGGTCAGACGATGAACGATGGACAGATCAAGTATGTGCTGCTCATTGTCGACAACTACAATTAATCTTCATCACAGATTGATAAACCATGTCTAGTAGTTAATGAAACAAATTATTTGTAAATTTAATTGACACCTTCTCTGAACAATCCCACTGGGATTCTGGGTGAGGCTGGTCCCAAGCATCCCATAATTTTCATAAAAGTCAGCTGAATGAGGATTGGTTGGATACAATGGCCTGAAAAAAATAACTGGAAGGAAGAAATGATAAATATGGTGTGTCTCTAGCATGGATGTATCTGCTGGTTGCTCTGCTGTATAAGAAAAGTTCAAACAATACAAAGAATTAAATTTTATCGCTTTGGAACAATATGTTGATTTTGTAAATATTGATAAGTTACTTTTTGCAATTATGTTTTCGTCTTTTAATGTTCAATGCTAGCCTTATTATTTTCCATAATAACAAACAAAGCATATTAACACAACATTCGTAGTGATTTGTTGATGTTATCACATTAACTCTTCATTTAATTTTCAGAGCACCAGACCCAACAAGACATTCAGGAGGTAATGTATACTAACAGTAATGATGATGATTTTATTACAATGTTATAAATATCTTGCCTGTGGGGATTCTGAAACAGCATCGGTCTCAGGCACTTCTTGCTTGTCATAATGCCTGATACAGTGATGCTTTGATGCCGATTTGAACAGTATTCCTGTTGTATCACGGCGTGTCAGCTTCATGTGGGAGGAAAGCCCGAAGTGATGCAGTTCTAAAAAGATTACCACTTTGGCCAAACCAAAGAGACCCGTGAAGATTCCGGGGTAGAATAGGTCTTCAGCAACCCATGCTTGCCGTAAAAGGTGACTATGCTTGTCGTAAAAGGCGACTAACGGGATCGGGTGGTCAGGGTCGCTGACTTGGTTGATGCATGTCATCGATCTCAATTGCGTGGATCGATGCACCTGATATCAATCACTAGATTGTCTGGTCCAGACTCGATTATTTACAGACCGCCGTCATATAGCTGGAATATTGCTGAGTGCGGTGTTAAACAACAAACCAACCAACCTAACCAAAGAGCCAGTGTATGGTGATGAAACTGACTTGGTGAAGTTTGGTCAGTTACAAAGTGTGACCTGGTTGATTTTATGTCTGCGTTCCCAATGTGGTGGCTCGTGGTCCTGTGGTCCGCACACACTGGTCACAAATCAGGTGAAGCTAAGCAACGTCAGTCTCGGAGAGTATTTAGTTGGGTGACCTCATTCAGCAGTTTGACCCTGAGAGTTTCTAGGGCTTCAGTTCTGCCCCACACTGAAGCACATGTGGTCTCTCCTTATGCAAGTGACTTTGTTCGAAATGTGCCTCTGTTCGCCCAGCAGTGAATGGGTACCCAGTAAGATGAGATGGTAATGTGGCTGTTAACCTTCTAGCACCTCACAGGCAGCTTGGGTTGTATACTCCCCAGGGAGCTGAGAATGAAATCGAGTGAGCACTGATTCATTGACCAGGGTAATACTATTAGCATCCACTTGGTGAATGGAATTTGGCGTATTATAAATGCACATATTATTATTAGTAGTAGTAGTAGTAATAGTAGTAGTAGTAGTAATTGACTGTTGCCTATGCTTCCAAACTTGATGTTGTTGATGTCGTAAAACAACAGTCACCCATCCCTTAAACAAAAAGTATCAAATGCTGATTTACACTTAGTTGTACTGATGTTTTTGATATTTGTATTGTGAGTGTTGATATGATAAAGTCACCGTCATCATCATAAGTCAATTAGCAATGTACATTTTTCTTCAGAGACCCCCTATGTGAATCGCAAGAGTCACACAGATTGTCTGACCTCGACCACGCCTGTGTTCCAGCCCGAGGTCAAGACCAGTCTCAAGTGGGCCAATAAAACACAGAGACCACCACTCAAATTTGAAGGTCAGTTTTGTAGTTTTGTGAAAACAAACAAGTTTTGTGTTCTGGGCAGCTAGATTTAGCAATGAACTGATTTATTAATTTTTTTAGTACTTTAGTGTAGAGGTAAAAAGTTATCTCCCCTTGCCTGAGGGAAATTTTTTCATTTTGACTGGCTGAAATTTAGATAAATTGTTTTGTGTACCTCAGCTTCTGGTAAACCAGCATAAGTTGAGTTGTGACCTGACAGTTAACCCTGTATGACTCAGTAATGTTTGAGGACCGCCCACTGGCGCGTACCATTGTCAAGAAAGGGGTAGCAAGAGGTCGGCGACAAGTACTACGATGGATATGCCAAGTCCTGTCTTGGCTAACAAGTCCTAGTGGCGAGTTGAATAGCATATAATAGTATGTGCTGATGTTAACTACTCGATGACTGAAAACGGTGACAGCAAATTCTCGAGCCTGAGAATGTATGTTTTGACATGTTTACAGTAGGCTATGGTTATAACGAACTCAAAGGGACCACCAACTTTAGTTTGTTATAACCGTAGTTCGTTATAAACATATATACAGCATAACTATAGCAAATAGTCGGGACCAAAAAATCAGTTCGTTATATCCGTTATAAACATACTTTACTGTATTTGTTTGTAATTAGTTTCTGTCAGACGACTTTTAGAGAATTCTGGTTTTGACTTGTCACACCGACCTCTCAGTAGTCTTTTAAGCAACATGTGTGTCCACAGGAGCGTAGTCGATTGCATTGCCATGACCTGCACGTGCACAACATACGTAAACCCTCACCCTCTCCACCTGTAACAAACCAAATGCGTTTGCCCAATTTCTGTGCACCACCTACTTCTCTCAAACCATGGTTTGTGAGTTGATTCACCCTGGATTACCAGTTGTGTGTCAGGCGCTGGAATTTTAAGATGGTATGAATTACCCTTGCTGCTCAGAAGAGTCAGGTCCAGACTCGATTATTTACAGGCTGCCGTCATATAACTGGAATATATGACATAAAATCCATCACTCATAAATTGTTATTTCAGACGGCTCCAGCGTCAACTACAAGCGACACACAGCATGTATGACAACTGAGGATCTGCGCATGATGAACTGGCAACGACCTCGCCGCCCCTACAGCACGTCCATCGTCCGGGAGTCCCAGCAGTGCAACAACCCCCTGCTGGACGACCTCAACCCTGGGGAACGCCTGTACCTGTACAGCATAGCAAGGGTGTACAGTGTGGACAGCATGCGCCGACTCAAACAGAACCAGTACTGTCAGCTGCTGCAGAAAGAGGGCCAGAGAGGTCAGTCACACTTCTTCATTCATCTACACAGTTATGTCCCTTTATCATACTTCCGCTGGGGCAGTCAAGTAGCCAAGTGGTTAAAGCGTTCATTCGTCAATGTGTGAAGCCCATTTCAGGTGTCCCCCACTGTGATATTGCTGGAATATTACTAAAAGCGGCGTAAAACCATGCTCACTTACTCACTCACTCATACTTCCGCTGGTCATGTACACAGTTACGTCCCTTTACTATACTGCCACTGGTCATCCGCAGTTATCTCCCTTAGTCATGCTTCCACTTGTGAATGACAGGGTTATCTCCCTCAGTCATACTTCAACTGGCCATCCACAGTTATGTCCCTTTATCAAACTGTCCCTGTCATCCACAGAGTTATCTCCCTTAGTCCCACTCCACTCAGCTCCACTGTGGTGTAGTTGATAGAGCATCTAGAGCACCGGATATGTCATAATATCAAAAGACTTTGCTTGGCATTAATGGGATAAAGCAAAGACTTGCTGGTTCGAAGTATCCTCTGTCTGAGCGGGGTATATCTCAGTCGGCAAACACTATAAATCTTGTCTGGACTAGTACAAGCAGCCACAAACACATATGCATGCACAGCACTATATGAGTGAAATAATCTTGAACGCAACATTTAACCCAATTTCACCTGACCTCATACTTTCATGGGTCATCTACAGAATTATCTCCCTTAGTCCTACTTCCCCTGGTCACTTATGGTGCCTGACTCCTGTATGATGTTCAGTGCACACTGTGTTCCTCAATGTTGCAGGAGGGTACTCGGCAGAGGAGTACAGGCGCTACATGAAGTACCTGAGCAGCCAGAGGAAGACCCAGCATGGTGCAACCGACACATACCAGCGACGGCGTATCCGCTCTGCACCTTCAAATCGGGACACACAGACAGACAAGACTGGGACACCGTCAGAACAATCACAGTCAAGACCTGCCTCCACAAAGTAAGGAACTGACAGTGGGAAAAGGATTGATTCACATTGAGTCATAGTTACATTTAGTCTCTGCACTTTTTCATGAAAGGTGGTTAAATTCACTATATTCCAATTATACAGTTAGGAAAGGGGGCACGGGTGGCCCAGTTGTCTAAGGCGCCACGATCTGCTGTGCAGAGTTGCGTCCCTTGGGCACACCAGAAACCTACGATTGTGGGTTCGAACCCCGATTCGCCCCGAATATGTTTCTAGGTGATCTGCATCACTTCAGGCTTTCCTCCCTCATAAGCTGACACGCTGCGATGTAACTGGAATACTGTTAAAAGCGGCGTTAAACCAAACTCATTCACTCACTCACTCACTCACTCACTCACTCACTCACTCACTCACTCACTCACTCACTCACTCACTCACTCACTCACTCACTCACTACAGTTAGGAAACAGACAGGAAGTAGTAAGTAACAGCTGACTAAACTTCATGAGGATTCAGGGCGGTCGGGTACCCTAGTGGTTAAAGCATTCACTGTAGTCAATACATATTTATTTCCACAAATCATCAAGTCAGTTAAGGCGTAATTTATTGTCAAAGTATGTTACGATTTTGTTTATATTTCATAGTTTATCGGATGTGTTTTGGGCTAGTAAAATATGATGAGGGCTTACAACATTTTTTTCCTGGCCAGCATATTTTGGAAACTAATACAAAACTGGGGTCATCACTGATTTTCTGTGATCCATAATTTTCAATGATTTTTTTTGCCTTTGTGCCCAGGGGCGGTCGGGTAGCCTAGTGGTTAAAGTGTTCGCTCGTCACGCCGAAGACCCGGGTTCGATTCCAGACATGGGTACAATGTGTGAAGCCCATTTCTGGTGTCTCCCGCCATGATGTTGCTGGAATATTGCAAAAAAGCGGCGTAAAACCATACTCACTCACTCACTCACTCACGAGGATTATACCCCCATAATAAGACACAGGCTTGTTCATGGCATTGACATAAGGCCAGTTTGTTACATATTTTTGTTTCTTTTGTCAAAACAGAATGGGTAGGGAGGGAGGATTTTATTTTATTATTTTTAGCTCACCTCACTAAAAGTCAATTGAGCTTATGTGGTGTATTGTCTGTCGGTTGTTAACTATTACATATTTGACATCACTTCTGAAACTACAAGGCCTATGTAGCTGTAAATTAGTATAAATGATCTCAGCAATGGTGTCTCTAAAAGCTGCTCTCAGAAATCTGATCCAAATTTAAACATGGCCATCATTGCAGCCATATTGAAAATTATGTTTTTACTTATTACCCAGCTATATCTTCATGTGTGGTTATGGAATTTGTTATGCAGCAAATATGTGGGATACAGAATATCACATGATATGATTTGGAGCACATTTATAATTAGCTCAATCTACTGCCTTTGACCTTCACTTACCCCCATCTTACGAGTGTTTTTGTATTTTTGACATCTCCTCGGAAACTTTGTATGAATGATCCCAGCTATAGTGTCTCTAAATTGCACTCCAAATTCTAAACCAACTTTAGACACGTATCATGGAACTGTTCTGGGTGAACAATACCTTCCAAATGACGTGCTTGTTTTCTTGGGGAATTAGTCAGCAAAGAGCCAGAGTCACAGGAGACTAATCACAATTTTATTTACAAGAACAATTAACAATTTACAATATACTTAGATAATAACTGAGGGTGCCACAGAGAGTCGGTACACACTCTGGGCTGTGGGAGAGAGGTCTGCTTGGTAAGAGAGTCAAACCCCTTCTCTGCTTAAAACCTGCCTACAGTATGTATTTAACAAAAATTTAAACAATAGAAAGGAATGTGATTGGATGATACACGCTTGGTTGTGTCCTAAGCTAAATGGATGGCTAGACAGAGGGGAATACTAAATCCTGTTTATCCTGTTGGACTGGCACTAATCTTGTTGACATATTTACTGGATGTTTTGAAAGAGATTAGGGTGTCACTATAGATGAGCTTGTGTGGGGGCTAATCCTTAATGCCCTATAGACGAGCTTGTATGGGGGCTAATCCTTAATGCACTATGGACGAGCTTGTATGGGGGCTAATCCTTAATGAGTCTTAATTGAAGTAATGTTATTCTAATATACCCCGGTAGGTGATGACAGATATACTTAAATAAATATCCTTTGTCTGGGAGATGGGATCTTGATACCTTAGGCTAGCATTTATCTAAAAGCTTCAAATCAATTAAACTATGTAGACGTAACTCTTGTCTTATTGAATAGTATGTCTAGAAGACGCGCTCCCATTACCTTAGGCTAGCAACCATCTAAAACAGCTTTAACTGAAACTACTGATATTTTATATATGCATTTTACCTAATGATATTTATTACTTGGTCAACTATAATTATATGAAATGATGTATAAATATTACACCACCATAACTCATAAAAGCACTTGATGTAGATCTAATTATTATAAGATAACTTAGTATGTTATCCCATGATACACGGCTGCCATTATTTCCTCACAAATGAGGTTAGCTACAGAGCCACAAGACTCTATTTTAGTTTAGTAGGTTACAAATCTATCAAGGATATGTGATTCTAATTTATGAGGGGGCACGGGCGCCGCGGCGCCGCGATTCACTGTAGAGAGTTGCGTCCCTTGGGCATGCCAGAAACCTATGATTGTTGGTTCAAATCCCGGTTCGGCCCGATTATGTTTCTAGGTTTGTCAGCACCATACCCGTGCTCATGGGTTTCACCGAAGTGGTAAACGTCTGATACCTGCATCACTTTGGGCTTTCCTCCCACATTAAGCTGACACGCTGCGATATAACTGTAATACTGTTAAAAGCAGCGTTAAACCCAACTCACTCACTCTAATTTATCACATGAGCCTATTTAACTACACACCCTGCTTCTCAGTGTATGAAGACACACTGGAGGCTACGGGGATCACAGCTGAATCTGACACACTATAAATGGTATAATATGTGCATAATTTTGGAATCTGGATACAATACCATTTGTGTTTTAAAAAGTAATTAATTTTAGTGTAAGGAGGGATATCGTGAAAAAACAGAAATTCTTGTTTGTTATTTAATGCTACTCATCTATATAACAGCAGTCTGTAAATAATAGAATCTGGACCAGACAATCCAGTAATTGATTTTATGACCATCGATCCATGCCGTCTAGTACAATGTCGAGCTATCAACCAAGTCTCCGATTCATTTGGTCGCCTCTACATTAGGTTGCTGGGGGCCTATTCTATCCTCAGAATCTCTGTGGGGATTATCTTTACCTGATCAAGATATAAAAAGTAATGTGATTTTTATCCTTTTGATATAAGATTTCGTTTTTTAACTTTAAACTTGTTCTCTAAACTGATTTTACAGATCAAAATCTAGATCAACCTCCCGCTCACTGTCAAGAGCATCTCTAGCTTCCAATAAGTCGAATAAGAAGAAAGCACAGGAGACGCCAACAGAGTCCAAAAGCACTTGATGTAGATCTAATTATTATAAGATAACTTAGTATGTTATCCCATGATAACTTCCCCTCCGTCTGAAAAAGTTTGGACCCCAAACGTGTAAAAATAAAAATAATTAAGGCTTAGATGGACAATGTATAAAGTTAAACTGGTAGTAGTGAATAATAATTATTATAGAGTCTCTTTGATATAAGGAAACATAATATAAAAATGCTGTCATAAGGGGTTCTGGATGTGGAGCTGGCTTGTCTTGGCACTCTGTACTGGTGGTTTTATGGGTGATGTAGGAGGCCTTGAGTTCCACATCCTGGATTGGGGTTGTAAGGTAGTAGGCTGTGTCCATGGAGGTTTTACATGGAAACAAAGAAAAGAGAGTTAGCATGTTCAAATAATATGTCATATATAAATACTTCCTCAGTTTGTCTGTAATAACTAGAAAATAAAACAAATATGATAATTATGATGTAAAAGATCAGTGCATAATTATTACTAAACGGTGTCATGACCAGGAAGAATGTATTGGCGGCAAATTACAAAGGTTTATCATGAAAACAATAGTAATATCCTTCTACTTTTGGATACAATCATTAGACACATTATATGTGCATGTGCATATAACAAGTGCATTGATTTGTTACATTAATACGGTATACAAAAGGTGTATATCATTGTTAGTTTTCGTAACTATTTGGTTTGCCTTTTCTTTGTTTTGGTTCATTTCGGTTGTTAAGTTTGCTTTATTTGAATTTGGTTTGTTTCGCTTTGATTTTCCTTCGGTTCAATGCGATAGGGTTTGGTTTATTTTGCTTCGGTATGGTTTGGGTTCGATTCCCAGTATGGTTTGGTTCGCTTCGGTACGGTTTGGGTTCGATTCCCAGTATGGTTTGGTTCGCTTCGGTACGGTTTGGGTTCGCTTCCCAGTATGGTTTGGTTCGCTTCGGTACGGTTTGGGTTCGCTTCCCAGTATGGTTTGGTTCGCTTCGGTATGGTTTGGTTCGCTTCGGTACGGTTTGGGTTCGTGTCATTTCACTTCGGTACGGTTTGGGTTCGCTTGGTACGGTTTGGGTTCGATTCCCAGTATGGTTTGGTTTGTGTCATTTCACTTCGGTACGGTTTGGGTTCGCTTAGGTACGGTTTGGGTTCGATTCCCAGTATGGTTTGGTTTGTGTCATTTCACTTCGCTTTTGAGATTGGTTGATCAGGTCAATGCTCAAAATTTGTTGTGATACAAATAACTCAGATGATCAGGCTGATGCCATTTGTTCTCAACTGGCGACCCATAGTGAAAAGACTGGACACAAGAAAACATAACAAGATACAGCTAATAGCTGTTTCGTGATTTGCACCGTTTATTCAGGAGATTTTGTATTTTGATCAAGAATATGTGCAATTGGCAGATATCAGAATATATGGGGAGTAGATCACCGTATGGTTGAGTGGTACCACATTCTGTGTAATTCAGATATGATTCACGGTAGAAAAAGGTGTTGATATTTCCAAAGTCTTTATGTGGAAAAATACCCCTTTTGGATTTATAAATTGGTGCTTCCTCTGGATCGTATGGAGGATTATCTTCTAGACAGGACCAATTTCGGAGATCCTGCCAGCTATCATCAAGGTAGCGCTGTACGAGGTGGGGAGGAACACTTTCAAAATAGCATGTGTGGACAGTATCAGGATGTTCTTTATATGAGACCTTGACATAGCAGTCTCCTTGAATAATTTCAATGCCCAGAACTCTTTCTATTTTATGTTCTACTCTTCGTAGGTGTTTGGGAAAAAACGGATGTGGTTTGACATTTAATTCTATGCATGGTTTGGTGTTGTCTTGCTTGACATTTCCTGACATTGTATTCCCTGACAGAACATTGACTGATTTATTGTCTAGTGCTGATTCCTTTTGGTCGAAAAACTTATGATTCTTCAGTGGACGTTTTCGTCGTTTTCCTGACATACTTCTTTTGAGGTGAAATTCTCTCCGAATGGAGTCTGGAATGCTGCTGCCATACTCCCACGTGTTTCCTCTTTCTGGATCCTTCCATTTTACTCTGTAGTAGATTTTGCCATTAGCTCTCTTGGAACTAACAATTGAGTGGATGTCCTCTGGATTGAAGACCTGAGGGATGTCCTTGGTTTGATAACCTGATGTTGGACTTGGAGGTTGTACCTGGCTGTCGTCGGGTTGTTTTCTGGATTTGGGCTGGTGATGCTTACTATTCACTCCTCTTTTCCCTTTATTTACCTTGTCATTTACCTTGGTTGGAGCACTAGGACCTGGTGTGGCATGATTTTCCTTCATGGTTGCCGTGGGACTGGTAGGTTTTTCTGTTGTACTTGAAGCAGGGTTTTTCTTCTTTGTTGGGGTCTTTTGCTTCTGACTCTTGTTGCTGGAAGTACCTGCCTTTGTTTTGGAATTGACCTTCTTACCTTTCTGTTGTGGAGGTGATTGATCAGTAGCCTGGTAAGTTGAACTTGTTGATGGGGAATTGTTGCTGTCAAACTGAGTATCATTGACTGGTTCCTCGTTGTCATCCATGACTCCTGAATCTATGTCACTGGGGTTATTGAGGTATGGTTCTCGAGGATACTGTGGACGATCAGCAGGATCAAAATATGGCTTCAGACGGTTGGCATGGACCAGTGGTTTGTGTATTTTGTCATCAGAACTTCGGCGCAGTTTGTAGGTATAATTTGGACCTGTATGGATGATATAATAGCTACCATACCACTTTTTGGTTAATTTGTTGGAAAGGCCTTTTTCAACTTTTTGACAGTAAAGCCAAACTCTTTGACCTGGGGCGAATTCTGGTTCTTTAGCATTTCTATTATATTGTTCTGAATACACCTCCTTAGCCCGAGCAGTGTTTTCAGCTGCGATTGTTCTAGTGATTTCAAGCTCCTCAAGCAAATTGGAAAGATAACTTTTGTTATTGTGGCCTAAATTTTCTTTTGGAATTAATGATACATCTTGTGGAGCTCTCATTTCCCGGCCGAAAAGCATAACATATGGGGATTTTTGAGTTGATGAATTTGGAGCCATCCGATAGGCCATCATGATGCCAGGAATGAAACGGGGCCAATCATTTTGAGACTTGTTACAGTAGGCTCTTAGTGATTGATTGATATAAGAGTTGAGCCTTTCTACACAGCTGTTAGTTTGAGGATGGTATGGGCTGGTATGGGTAAATTTAATTGCCAAAAGTTCACAAATTGCTTTGATAAGTTTGGACATGAAGTTCTGACCTCTGTCTGAAATTAAGGTCCTTGGAGCGCCATACCGACAAAATATTTCTCTGACGAGAACATCTGCTACTTCTTTGGCTTCTTGGGTCCGAAGTGGAAAGGCTTCACACCATCTAGATGATGCATCTGTGATGACCAAAATGTATTTGTACTTATCTGGTGTTGTTGGCAGGGGACCGAGAATGTCAACGTGCCATCGGGTGAAGACCTCTTCTACAGGTAGTGGACGAAGTGGTGCCTTCTTGCCATGGTAGTGCCTCTTGGTCTGTTGACATACCTCACATGTCTGGACATAAGTAGCAATATCGCTGTACATTTTGGGCCAGTAGTACTTAGGTCTCATGGTGTTGTGCATCCTTTCTTTCCCATGATGGCAACCGCCAAACTCTGAGTCATGATAGGATTGCAGGACTTGATTTCTGAGGGTTCTTGGGACTGCCAGCTGTTTAATGAACTTGTCTGCGTGGCCTTTCTGTCTTTGTGGAACGAATCGGTATAGGATGCCTTCATCAATTTCAAAAGTATTGGCTTCAATAAGAATCTTTTGACGATCCTTTTCATTTTGTGGAAGGACTTCATCCTCTTTGTAGTCAAAGATTTGGATGAAATCTGGACAAATCCTTTGTAGGTGACGTAAATTTGGATGTTCTTTTATACTTACTTCAACCAATGTGTCTTGGGTAACATCAGCATTTGTAGCATGTAATGCTGCGACAACATTAACTGGTACTGACTGATAATCCTCTTCATATTCAAAGGTGACTGACCAATGTGTTGTCTGTGTGTCTGATTCTAAGTGATTGACAATAGGTGTGCAAATATCCTCAGTCTGAGTTGTCTGTGTGACTTGTGTGGATGAATGGGTGTTTGGCAAGATTGTGGTACTGCTAGTTGATTTGCTTTGCTGAGTTGAAGTTACTGAGAAGACTGTTTTCTCAGCATCTTCTTCTGTCTGATCATTACAGTTAATATTTTCCTCATATTCCCTACGTGAGAGAGCATCGGCATTCCCATTGGCTTTGCCGCTGCGGTGAACAATGTCAAAAGTGTAGGTAGAGAGTTCCAAAGACCATCGTCCTAACCTACCTGTGGCATCCTTGATGGATTTCAGCCACTTCAATGCTATATGATCAGTGTAGACTGTGAATTTGGAATTTGCAAGGTACGGACGAAAGGATCTAATGGCTTCAACTAGAGCTAAGCCTTCCTTTTCTGTAATGCTCCAGTTCTTTTCGCTGCCATGAAGAGCTCTACCACCATAAGCTATTGGATGTTCATTATTCTTCTCGTCTTTTTGACTCAAAACAAAACCTATGCTCATATCACTGGCATCAGTTGCAAGAAGAAATTCTTTGTCAAAATTTGGATACGCCAGAACAGGTGTATTACTCATAGCATGTTTGAGTGTGTTGAATGCCTGATCACACTCAAGTGACCATTGGAACTTTGGTTTCTTTCCTAGTTCTGCCTCCGAATGCTTCTTTAGCAAGGCATTCAGTGGAAGGGCTATGTGAGCGTAATTTTTCACATACTTCCTGTAGAAGTTTGTGAGACCTAAGAAGGAGCGAATCTGCTTTTGTGACTTGGGCACTGGAAAGGTTCTAATTGCTTCAATCTTTTTGTCATCAACTTGAACACCTCCACATGATAAAACATGACCCAGAAAAGATACTTTGTCCGTTGCAAAATTGCATTTGGATGGCTTTAGTGTTAATTTTGCCTGTTTCAGATAGTAAAATACTTGCTCTAAATGTTGAAGATGCTCTTCAAAGTTTTTGCTGTAAATTATCAAATCATCAATGTAGATCAGCGCAACCTTAAAAAGCAATTTTCGTAGCACTTTGCTCATGAGCTGTTGAAAACAAAGTGGAGAATTTGTCAAACCTTGGGGCAATCGTTTAAATTGATAAATGCCTTGATGGGTGACGAAAGCAGTTTTATGCTTTGAATCTTCATGTAATGGCACTTGGAAGAAGCCATTAGCAAGGTCTAAAGTTGAGAAGATCTTAGCTTGTGCATTGGTGATGTTATCAACAACATCATCAAAAACAGGAGGCCATGACATTGGTAAAGTGACAGAATTCAACTTTCTGTAGTCACAAACAAATCTATATGAGCCATCACGTTTCTTGACTAGGATAATGGGAGCTGAATACATAGAAGTTGACTCCTCGATCAAATCATACTTCAGAAAATCATCTATAAGTTCTTCAGTGACTTTTTGGAGATGAGGAGATTGACGATATGGTCTACTCTTAACGGGTGGGTGGTTGCCAGTGTCAATGATATGTTGGTGCAGGTCAGTTTTACCTAAATCTGCAAGACTTGTTGAAAACATGTTTCTATTTTGTCCCAAAAATCTAAGTAGTCTGTGTCGTTGGTCTGGAGTCAGTTGTGTATTGGTCAAATCAAATCCTAACTCCTGTGCAATTTTGACATAATCCCTGGTGTCATTGTCTCTCTTCTCATTGTCGGTGTTAACGGTACTGATGAATGGTTGGTCAGAGCCGATTTCAAAAACAGAGTCTTTGTCAATGTAACTAAATTTGCCTACAACTGTACCCTTGTCAAGAACCTTTTCTTCTTGGGAGGGATTCATAAGCCTAAATGTAGCAGTCTTGCTTTTTGATTTAGAAAGAGTTCTACCGCCTGCTACTTCAGAATGAGCAGTGAGGGAAGCAATGGGTTCAATGAGGATGAGGGAATCCTCTTTGGTCTCTGATAGTCTGACCTTGAAATGAATTTCACTCTGAGGGGGGATGTAAATCTGATCTATTGTTTTTGCTAATCCACTAATCTCATGCACTGAATTGGCTATGAAATTGATATATTGCCTATCTGAGGTGCTGTTGTTGAGTATCAAGGAATGACAGCTATAATCTAAGACTGCATCATTGTCATCAAGGAAGTTCTCACCTAGTATCACTGCCTTCGGCAGTGTAGGCAGTACATAGAATCTTTGAGAAAATTCCTGATCCTCAATGACAAAATCTAACACAACTGAACCTAACACTTTATGCAATTCGCCGCCAACACCTTTTACCTGTGGAAAGGGTGAGTTTCCAAGAGTAAGGTTTTCAAAAGCTGTGCTCAGAAAAGCAGACGAAATACAACAAATGGATGCCCCTGTGTCTACTAAACAATTTGTTGTTGTTGTGCCAAATTTTGCCTGAATTACACTTTTGGCAAGGGGCGTAACTAAAGACACTGTTGGAATTTCACTTTCAAAGTTACTTTCCATACCAGACTCCATATTTGCCATGACACCTATTAGTATGTACCGTACTAAATTAAAGGATGACAAGAAATCAACAATGTATTACTTACAATATTTGAAGACTTTTTCTTCCTTTGTTGGTGTCTTTGGAGGAGTTGGTTGTCTTTAATCCAGTGTTGAGGTCAGAGGTTGATGCAGCTTGCTTGTTATTCCATCAGGAGATCACAGTTGGACATGTCCTCCAATGGGTTCTTGTAGCTGGTCGTAGTTAGTTCCTGGACTCTGTGGTTCCGAAAACGATGATTCTCCGCCAAATTATCATGGAACTGTTCTGGGTGAACAATACCTTCCAAATGACGTGCTTGTTTTCTTGGGGAATTAGTCAGCAAAGAGCCAGAGTCACAGGAGACTAATCACAATTTTATTTACAAGAACAATTAACAATTTACAATATACTTAGATAATAACTGAGGGTGCCACAGAGAGTCGGTACACACTCTGGGCTGTGGGAGAGAGGTCTGCTTGGTAAGAGAGTCAAACCCCTTCTCTGCTTAAAACCTGCCTACAGTATGTATTTAACAAAAATTTAAACAATAGAAAGGAATGTGATTGGATGATACACGCTTGGTTGTGTCCTAAGCTAAATGGATGGCTAGACAGAGGGGAATACTAAATCCTGTTTATCCTGTTGGACTGGCACTAATCTTGTTGACATATTTACTGGATGTTTTGAAAGAGATTAGGGTGTCACTATAGATGAGCTTGTGTGGGGGCTAATCCTTAATGCCCTATAGACGAGCTTGTATGGGGGCTAATCCTTAATGCACTATGGACGAGCTTGTATGGGGGCTAATCCTTAATGAGTCTTAATTGAAGTAATGTTATTCTAATATACCCCGGTAGGTGATGACAGATATACTTAAATAAATATCCTTTGTCTGGGAGATGGGATCTTGATACCTTAGGCTAGCATTTATCTAAAAGCTTCAAATCAATTAAACTATGTAGACGTAACTCTTGTCTTATTGAATAGTATGTCTAGAAGACGCGCTCCCATTACCTTAGGCTAGCAACCATCTAAAACAGCTTTAACTGAAACTACTGATATTTTATATATGCATTTTACCTAATGATATTTATTACTTGGTCAACTATAATTATATGAAATGATGTATAAATATTACACCACCATAACTCATAAAAGCACTTGATGTAGATCTAATTATTATAAGATAACTTAGTATGTTATCCCATGATACACGGCTGCCATTATTTCCTCACAAATGAGGTTAGCTACAGAGCCACAAGACTCTATTTTAGTTTAGTAGGTTACAAATCTATCAAGGATATGTGATTCTAATTTATGAGGGGGCACGGGCGCCGCGGCGCCGCGATTCACTGTAGAGAGTTGCGTCCCTTGGGCATGCCAGAAACCTATGATTGTTGGTTCAAATCCCGGTTCGGCCCGATTATGTTTCTAGGTTTGTCAGCACCATACCCGTGCTCATGGGTTTCACCGAAGTGGTAAACGTCTGATACCTGCATCACTTTGGGCTTTCCTCCCACATTAAGCTGACACGCTGCGATATAACTGTAATACTGTTAAAAGCAGCGTTAAACCCAACTCACTCACTCTAATTTATCACATGAGCCTATTTAACTACACACCCTGCTTCTCAGTGTATGAAGACACACTGGAGGCTACGGGGATCACAGCTGAATCTGACACACTATAAATGGTATAATATGTGCATAATTTTGGAATCTGGATACAATACCATTTGTGTTTTAAAAAGTAATTAATTTTAGTGTAAGGAGGGATATCGTGAAAAAACAGAAATTCTTGTTTGTTATTTAATGCTACTCATCTATATAACAGCAGTCTGTAAATAATAGAATCTGGACCAGACAATCCAGTAATTGATTTTATGACCATCGATCCATGCCGTCTAGTACAATGTCGAGCTATCAACCAAGTCTCCGATTCATTTGGTCGCCTCTACATTAGGTTGCTGGGGGCCTATTCTATCCTCAGAATCTCTGTGGGGATTATCTTTACCTGATCAAGATATAAAAAGTAATGTGATTTTTATCCTTTTGATATAAGATTTCGTTTTTTAACTTTAAACTTGTTCTCTAAACTGATTTTACAGATCAAAATCTAGATCAACCTCCCGCTCACTGTCAAGAGCATCTCTAGCTTCCAATAAGTCGAATAAGAAGAAAGCACAGGAGACGCCAACAGAGTCCAAATCTGACACCAAACCATCAAAACAGGCAAGTGATGGGGCAACTGCAACAAACAAGAAGTCTCCAGACACCAAAACATCTAAAGAATCAACTAAAAAAACCGCTGCAAGCAGCAAAAAATCAGAGCATACAAAACCACAAAAAAACACTCCAGAGCATGAGAAGTCCAAAACAAACGCTTCTGATAATTCCAAAACGGCGGAAACAGAAAATACTGACAAGAAGGTATCAGTTATCCAGATACAAGAACAGAACCAGGATGAAGAACCAGATGAAGATGAGGCTCAGGTCAGAGGTGAAGACATGGTCAAGGACAGTGATGATGCTGAGGATACGATGGCTCACCGAAACAGAGGGAAAGGTCATAAGGAGGGTGTCGACAGGCCTAAGTCTCGACTTGGTGAACGTCCACGTGCTAAGGGTAGGTTCGGCCATACATTTGTAATTTTTGCTTATCCTGTCTCAAATATTGCATTTTGTCCCAGGATATATTATGGGGGAACATAGTCGATGCCTCGCCTGTCTGTCTGTCAATCTGTCCGACCGTGCGTAATCATTTCGTTTTCAGAAACCATTCAATTTTTTTTTTAAATGCCAGATATATCAAACAGATCCTGAAGTGGTGCCTTTTGCTATTTGTTTGTTTTTTGGCATTTTTATTTTTCACAATTTCCATGGAAACAGTTTGGAAGGGTGTGGGTAGGTGTGTTTCTGGAATACAACTTGAAAACTGTGAAAGACTTTTCATCTAAACCTGGTACATGTATTGACCAAGGGCTGAAGTGGCTCCTGTTGCTATTTGGGAATTTTTCAACATTTGATTTTTTTCCTGTTTCCATGGAAACAAGTTAGACTTAGCTGAAACGGAGGTAGGTGTTGTTTCTGGAGCAGAACTAAAAAACTATTCAACATTTTTCATCCAAACTTGGTACATGTATTAAACATGGGGTGAAGTGGTGCCTTTTGCTATTTAGGAATTTACACACACAAAAATCCTGGTTCCATGGCAACAAGTTTGACTTTGACGCTGTTCATAATGGTGTGTTTGTCTGGACCATATCTCTAAAAATAATAGAAACACTTTCTTAAAATGTGCACAATCAAAGACCAGGTTGTCATCTGGTGCCTTTCAGGGTTTTTTAGAATTTATATTTTTTTCTGTTTCCATGGCAACAAGTTTGATTTTGATTCTGTTCATAATGGTGTGTACCTGACATAGAAATCCAAAGTTCCGAATCCTAATTCCATGGTATTGTTTTGATAGCTCAGTATTTACTCTTGTATATGGACAGACAGATTAGGTAGAAATTCTCTCATCAAGTTCGACTTAAAGTAACAGTCAGATGCTTTGTTCTTTCGAATTTGTGGAAACTGGGGGGATGTCATCTTCTGATGACTCTTGTTTGTTTTTGTTTGGGTCAGTTGGGTTATATTGTGGGGAAAAAAAATGCTTTTGTTTAACTGCAAGAGGTGTAGTATTTTTACAGTATATGTATTTATCGAAGGCCACGTTATCTTGATAAGGGGACTGCAGTGGCAAGAGAGAACATACAATGTTTTTGAAGAATTATTATTGAAAAAGTTAATACTTTCATTTTGAATTATTTTTGTTGTTGAATATTTTTCTTTTGTGGAAATCATGGAAATAAAGTTAAACTGAAACTATTTTGTTAATTGTGTCTTTGGCTGTTTTGGTTGAATTAAAAATAACCACATGTCACCAATTAATCACTTAGGTTGGCATGTGAAGGTTTAAAGATTTTGAGTTCAGGTTATTAAATGCAAGGCATTCTTTTCTTTTCTTTGCCTAAGTCAAACAATACAATCAGTCTCCAAATTGTTTATTCAAACTGAAAGGCCATAGGTCAACGTATTTACAAGGTATGCGTGTGTCTTCTAACTAACAATGCATGATGTATGTACAATGCAAAATTTTGTAATAATGTAATATTTGAGTTTGACATGAGTATGTAAAACAAATTGATATTTGGATAAGATGTAAACTTCTTTGGAATATACTTGTTTTCTTTTCTTTTTGGGGGTCAAACCATACAATCAGTCACACTAATAATGATTACTTTTTGGTTCATAATCTTTAAATAAACATAAACACAAATTTCACCTCACTCACAGACCCCAAGTTATCCTAGATATTCCTTATTACCACTTGGTCTTGGGATTGCCAATTCCGCAGACTGATGGCTGTTAGTGTATTTTTGTGATGTTAATAGATGAATGTATTCAGGATTTATCATTAACCAGTGACACCTTCTTCAACAGACAATAGTGACGATGACTACAGCTCCGACAGCGAGACTGACAGCAGCAGCAGTGATGAGTCGGAAGCTGAAACAAGCAAGTCTCTATCAAAATCAGAACCAACAGAGTCTCAGACAAGATCAGAACCATCTAAGACATCAAGCTCTTCTCAGAAAGCAGGCTCTGAAGCAGCATCGCCGGGTTCCCCTCCCAAACCCGAGGTGGTGACAACCCCAAGTACTCCACCCAGATCCGAGATCTCCAAGACAGAGGGTTCTCCCCCAAAGGATGGCGACCATGATGCCTCGTACTCTGAAGATTTCTCCGAAGCTTCCCAGAGTGTGAGTAAGTCCCAAGCAAGTAAAACAGACGACAACAAGAGACAGTCAGACAGTTCAACTAGTGGAAAATCGTCAGACAAAAGCCAATTAAAACCTGCCCCTGTGTCTGAATCCAAAGGACAGTCATCTTCTGATTCTGAAAGTGACACAAGCTCTTCACTCAAACCAGCACAACAGGCAACATTATCTTCTGACACACCCAAAACAGATGATACTTCCACATCTACTTCAGTACCACAGGTCAAGGTCAGTCAAGATGACACCAAGGTCAATCAAGGAGACACCAATGTCAGTCAAGATAAAAACAAGGTCAGTGATGAATCTTACTCTGAAGATTTCACAGAATCTTCATCCAAAAGTCAAAGTGGTGACAGAGTGAAAGGTGAAAAGTCACCAGAGGTCAAGGTCAAGGGTGAAAGGCCAGAGGTCACATTCAAGGAGGAAGTCCATAACAGTTCACAGAACACAACTGAACAGAATGAAGATACCGGCAACAAATCTAATCGTGGAGAGGAGTCTTACCAACGAGAAAGAAGAGACTCCATTGAGATGGATCGGGAAGGAAGAGTGAAAGACTGGGATAAGATAGAATATTGATGAATTTTGGGGATTGTTTTTGTAATTCCCATAATAATATTTTGCCTGGAGTATTGTGGTAGAATACTTTTTGACATTTGGGACAACATTGCTTCTTACATGCATTAAATCCTGAGCCCATACATGACATTTGAATAACAATCATTGAAAACAAATTAAATGTCAATCATCAAAAATCCTTTTGTATGCGAAACATTATCACTGCTTAATGCTTCCAAATGATTTGTAAACATGATTATTTCCATGCTAGTGAGAGCAATTATTTATGGGCGGGCTTAACGTCGGGCTGATCACCGTCATAAAATAGTTCGCCCTGCAGAGTTGTGTCCCTTTCCCGTGCCAGAAACCTATGATGATCTGTGATACGTTTGTATCCCAGAGTCACCCTGATTATCTTATCAGCACCATACTCTAGCTCATGGGTTTCACAAACGTGGTAAATATCACGTCTAAGACATCACATCAGGCTTTCAGCTCACATCAAACTGACATGCCACGATATAACTGAAATAATTATGAAATCGAGTGGGGAGATCAATCATTACTTTATCAGCACCATACCCATGCTCTTGATTTTCAAGTGGTCACGGTCTTGACCTTCACCATGCCTTGTTTTCCTCCCATATACACTGATATGTTGGTAACTGAACCACTGCTCAGAATGGTGATAAAACCCAACTCATTTCACCATATTATGATACAAAGGATTGAAGTAAAATGTATCGCTCCTTTATGTTGTTGTAAACATATTATCATTACTGTATTCGACGTAATAAGCGCCCAGGGCACTCTCAAAACTAGAAATAGGGGGGCTCTTATTTGAATATAATTTGGTGAGAGAAAAAAACAGGGTTGAAAGATTGTAAATTTCGTGGCTTATGCTGGCAGCTTGAAATGATACAAAAGAACAATCTGTGTGTATTATACGCGATAGATATATATTCCAGAATTAAATTGCCCATAATTAAGGGTGCGTATAACACACAAGTGCGTATCATACATGAATAAATAAGTCTTGTGTACATTGATCAATCGGATGGAGTGCCAATTGGGATTGTTCACTAGCTAATATATTATCAAAAATCGCCGTGGGCGCTTATTAGAGAGGGGTGCTTATTACGTCGAGTACGGTAATACTAACGGTAAAGGAATACTGATCAGCATTGGTAGCCATAATGGAATTCAATCGTTATCGCATGTATATTTATATTGATCATGTCTTTTATTGATGTTTTATTGTTATTAGAGTTGTTTTATATGCATGTTGACTGGTGAGAAACTGTGATTTTGACTGTGATAAATTGTACATACAAAAAATATAATAAATGTACATATGAATATGAAGGTCTTAGGATGCACCTGTGTGTTGACTGAACTTAGGATGTTTTGGTCTCTCTAGACTGGAACAGTATTTAAAAAAATTAAATTAAATCAATCAAACCAACATACTGCTACCAAATTTGGAAGAGGGTTTTTCATGCTCTCAGAACATCTCAGAATGAGAATTAACATATTTATCTCCAAATTAGACAATATTATGGATAACAACTTCTTTAATACTGTAAAGGCGACGTTTCGGTATAGATACTTATAACATTGTCAAGCAAGACTGGATGAGGAACATTGTACAGAATATATACACTAGGTGGAGGATTAACAGTAACAACAAATTCGACATGAGTGGGAAAATATGAGTAACAACAGAACAGAAGGATCACAACACGATGGACAGAGAACCGAAATGTCGCCTTGACAGTATTAAAGAAGTTGTTCATATAATATCCATAAATTGCGTCTACTTTGTTATCAACTTCTAAGTAATGCGTATCAAACAATTCATATTTATTTTCCAATGTAATTGAAATCAGATATAGGCCTGGGTCCCACTAAACAAAGACCTGAGGAATCCCATTACTGGTGTTTTTCAGAATGAACTTTCATGAACTTTGCCTGACCAATGAAATGACTAACAAGAACTCAACTTTTGTTAATCAGAAAACAGCTTTCTCGTGCGATACGGTACTATTTTTAAACTGGCGACTTCCATTCAAGACAACGCTTTGAAAACTATTTTGACAACGTTCTTGATTAAAAAGTTTCAAACTGAACAAAAGAACATTCTGGAATGTCTAATAGTAGGTCTAGATTGTATGTCAGTACTTCCCAAGTGCTATGCAAATTCTCTTCCATTGAAAAGTTTATCCAGTTGAAGCGGGAGACAGATGAAGATTTGGACAGATTCAGTCATTCAACCTGTAGCTGTCGTTTGGATACCTTATTGAGGTTGCATAAGAAAACACATTCTGTCTGTTCCCGATCTGGTAATCATTGCTCTGATTGGTCAGATGAAAGGTCGGTCTCACGTGACCCTTAATGGGATGTCTCCAGATCTTTGTGTAGAGGCAGCAAGAAATTAGGTCCGATTTTAATCAGATTGATTCATCTTGGAAACAGAGCCTCGTTCCAGTCTATCTTTAATGTTTACTTGTTTACTTTCAGTGTTCATCTGTGAAAACAAAATAATTAGTTCTCAAGTATGAATGTTTTGGGTTTTTACCAAAACAAGCTTGGGTTTTACTGATGTGGATGGTGTCTCAATCAGATTGTTTTTTCTAGGTTTAATAGCATATTTGTATCGATTGTTCCTATGTATTACAATAATGTTTGTAATTTGAGTAACGTTTTACACTCAACCCAGCAATGGGTTCCTGCCTGTCTCAAATATTGCACTTTGATAATAAATATTTTTTCAAGACACAAAAATTTCTCTTGTGTTTAAAACTATGAAGGTGTTTGCATTGCATGCAAAAACAGAAGCCGCCCCATCCCCACCTTTCCTGAATGACCTAAAATATCTGATCAGACACATATATCCTGAACCATTTAACTTCACGTAGGTAGTGAGTTAACTTAACATATGTCCAATGCAGTACAACTTTGCTGCCTTGATAAACTGATAGGCACCTTAAATAACATGACTTCTGGTTCGGGAAAATGCATGCCCAATGCATGTAACTATCTTAAAGTTATTAGCATTTCCGGCTCGTACTCGCAAGACATTGTGCAAACAAGCCCCTTGGGACAAATATTGCACAGTGAGTGACCTTGACCTTCAATGTCATCCAATCACATGAACAAGTAATGTTCCAATTGCGTAGATCGATGCTCATGATGTCTATCACTGGACTGTCTGGTCCAGACTCAATTATTTACTGACTGCTGTCATATAGCTGGAATATTGCTGAGTGCGGCGTTAATCAACAAATTAGGTACCTTCAGCTCCTAAGCCACCCAGTTAACTTATCATCCTTCAAGTACAACTGATGTGTTCAAGTACAACTGTGTTTCAACATAATATTAGTTGTCTCCAGGGGCATATTGTGTGATATACCCTGGGTGTGAGTCTATGTACCCCAGGGGCATATGGTGTGGTGTACCCTGTGTGTGAGTCTATGTACCACGGGGAATAAGGTGTGATGTACCCTGTGTGTGAGTCTATGTACCACGGGGAATAAGGTGTGATGTACCCTGTGTGTGAGTCTATGTACCCCAGGGGCACATGGTGTGATGTACCCTGTGTGTGAGTCTATGTACCCCAGGGGTATATGGTGTGATGTACCCTGTGTGTGAGCCTATGTACCCCAGGGGTATATGGTGTGATGTACCCTGTGTGTGAGCCTATGTACCCCAGGGGTATATGGTGAGATGTACCCTGTGTGTGAGTCTATGTACCCAAGGGGCACATGGTGTGATGTATCCTGTATGTGAGCCTATGTACCACAGGGGCACATGGTGTGATGTACCCTGTGTGTGAGTCTATGTACCCCAGGGGTATATGGTGTGATGTACCCTGTGTGAGAGTCTATGTACCCCAGGGGCATATGGTGTGATGTACCCTGTGTGTGAGTCTATGTACCCAAGGGGCACATGGTGTGATGTACCCTGTGTGTGAGTCTATGTACCCCAGGGGCATAGGGTGTGATGTACCCTGTGTGTGAGTCTATGTACCCAAGGGGCACATGGTGTGATGTACCCTGTGTGTGAGTCTATGTACCCCAGGGGTATATGGTGTGATGTACCCTGTGTGAGAGTCTATGTACCCCAGGGGCATATGGTGTGATGTACCCTGTGTGTGAGTCTATGTACCCCAGGGGTATATGGTGTGATGTACCCTGTGTGTGAGTCTATGTACCACAGGGGCACATGGTGTGATGTACCCTGTGTGTGAGCCTATGTACCCCAGGGGTATATGGTGTGATGTACCCTGTGTGTGAGTCTATGTACCCAAGGGGTATATGGTGTGATGTACCCTGTGTGTGAGCCTATGTACCCCAGGGGTATATGGTGTGATGTACCCTGTGTGTGAGTCTATGTACCCAAGGGGCACATGGTGTGATGTACCCTGTGTGTGAGCCTATGTACCCCAGGGGCACATGGTGTGATGTACCCTGTGTGTGAGTCTATGTACCCAAGGGGCATATGGTGTGATGTACCCTGTGTGTGAGTCTATGTACCCCAGGGGTATATGGTGTGATGTACCCTGTGTGTGAGTCTATGTACCACAGGGGCACATGGTGTGATGTACCCTGTGTGTGAGCCTATGTACCCCAGGGGTATATGGTGTGATGTACCCTGTGTGTGAGTCTATGTACCCAAGGGGTATATGGTGTGATGTACCCTGTGTGTGAGCCTATGTACCCCAGGGGTATATGGTGTGATGTACCCTGTGTGTGAGTCTATGTACCCAAGGGGCACATGGTGTGATGTACCCTGCGTGTGAGTCTATGTACTCCAGGGGCACATGGTGTGATGTACCCTGCGTGTGAGTCTATGTACTCCAGGGGCACATGGTGTGATGTACCCTGTGTGTGAGTCTATGTACCCAAGGGGCACATGGTGTGATGTACCCTGTGTGTGAGTCTATGTACTCCAGGGGCACATGGTGTGATGTACCCTGTGTGTGAGTCTATGTACCCCATGGGAATATGATGTGATGTACCCTGTGTGTGAGTCTATGTACCCCAGGGGCACATGGTGTGATGTACCCTGTGTGTGAGTCTATGTACCCCATGGGAATATGATGTGATGTACCCTGTGTGTGAGTCTATGTACTCCAGGGGCACATGGTGTGATGTACCCTGTGTGTGAGTCTATGTACCCCATGGGAATATGATGTGATGTACCCTGTGTGTGAGTCTATGTACCCCATGGGAATATGATGTGATGTACCCTGTGTGTGAGTCTATGTACCCAAGGGGCACATGGTGTGATGTACCCTGTGTGTGAGTCTATGTACCCCAGGGGCATACGGTGTGATGTATCCTGTATGTGAGCCTATGTACCCCATGGGAATATGATGTGATGTACCCTGTGTGTGAGTCTATGTACCCCAGGGGCATAGGGTGTGATGTACCCTGTGTGTGAGTCTATGTACCGCAGGGGCATACGGTGTGATGTACCCTGTGTGTGAGTCTATGTACCCCAGGGGCATACGGTGTGATGTACCCTGTGTGTGAGTCTATGTACCCCAGGGGCACATGGTGTGATGTACCCTGTGTGTGAGTCTATGTACCCCAGGGGCATACGGTGTGATGTACCCTGTGTGTGAGTCTATGTACCCCAGGGGCATAGGGTGTGATGTACCCTGTGTGTGAGCCTATGTGTGTATCCTGCGTAGTGGGAGACCAATTTACAACGAATTCATCTCACCATAATAATTTTTGCCCGTTTATCGAAAATGTCGTATTCAGTATGGCTAGCAAACCATTTCACGGATATCATGATAGCCCACAGAAAACATATTCACTCTCCAATCGGAAATGCACAGTTAAGTTTGCATGTGATAGGTGCTCAGTTTCAAACTAATATGCTCATATCACTGCATATGCTTTGGTTATAAGTTTGGCATTTCCAAGCGGAACTATAAAGTTTATACCTTATTTGTCAGCAGGGTACATCAGAAAAAATGTCCAGTCAGCATGGTCAATAACCAATGAGAAAAAAGTATTATACACAAGGTAATATAAACATAATATATCAGTTATCAACTTCCCCATAAACAAAAAATAAGGTTTTAGGTTTAGTAAATATTTATTAATTATTCAGCTGATATAACAATCAAGAAACACATAACTTTACATTTGGAAATGTACACAACATATAATTAACAGATGGGACTTGGTCTCATCATACAGTCAACAGCTCATATCTGAAAGGTTCATCAGAATTGACACTTATGTATCTGTTAACACAAGAGTGAGTTGTGTCTGACACCGCTTCGAACAGTATTACAGTTAAACCACGGCTTGTCAGCTTGATGTTGGAGAAACGCCCAAAGTGATGCAGGTCTTGGATTTTTACGACTTTGCTGAAAGCCATGACCACAGGTAATAATGCTGACCTGCTGACCCATGACAGGATAATAATCAGGGAGATTTGGGATTCGAAACAAGAATCATCTGATTCTGTCACTCCCAAGGGAAGTAACTCTGCCAATTGTGGTGCCAGAAAACTAAGCATGACAGAAATATGTACATCTTTGTTCAAAACTTACCAAGCACAAACACCCATCGGTTGATGACTCACAACTTATGTGAGGGTAATGGAACAGATTTAAAATATATGTCACAAACTTAAGTGTCATAAACTACAAGCCAGTAAGATTTCTAATAACTCCTTCAACATTACGATCACAATTGACTGGGGTTGGGCAACTAACAGTGCAAGCATTGAATATCCATCTTGTCACCCTTCTGTTATGATCGATATTCACCACCATGGCTTCGTTTCGATAGTGAGTGAGTGAAGTTGGAGAACCCGGCTTTTTTACAGTATTCCAGTTATAAGCGTGTCAGCTTAATGTGGGAGAAAAGCCAAAGTGATGCAAGTCTCAGAAATTTACCACTTTGGTGAAACCCACAAGTATGGTGCTAAAAAAACTAGAAACATAATTGGAGCGAATCGGGATTTTAACCCATGATAATAGGTTTCTGGAATGCCCAAGGGACGCAACTCTGGACAGTTAACTGCAGTGCCTTAGATGACGGGGCCACCTGTGCCTCCTCATTTCTAGTGATGTGGCCATACAAGCGGCCTCAAGACGAAGTTAAGGTGCTGAATGGGTCCAGGTCATACATAATAACAGAATGGAGGTATGACACACTGGATAATCGAAGATGCAACATTGGTCTCTTAAAAGAAAATCTGCACTGATCTTTGTCCCCTGAATTAAGATGAATAATATCGTGTAGCCATGGTAACAATGTTATTTGTATTAACCATGTTAACTACTGCTGAAGCAGACAGCTATCAAGGTGAAACATCATTAAAATATCTACACATCGTACACGTGTCATCTATAACTCACAAGACAATACTATACAACAAATCAATGGAAAACTAAAATCCCAAGTCCCATGGCATTAATGACCTTAGTTGGCCAGTAACATCACTGAGCTTGTAAGAAATTGATAAGTAAAGAGGCTCAAGATTGAATGAGCCTCGGACCTAATGACTATGCTAAGTCTATGCTAAAGTAAGGGACATACGATAGTCGTAGCACTATGACTGTCACAAGTCTATGCTAAAGTATAGGACATACGATAGTCGTAGCGCTATGACTGTCAAAAGTCTATGCCAAAGTAAGGGACATAAGTCTATGTCATAGTATAGGAGGTATGACAGCCGTAGCTTTACAATTACTTTATGAAATGGACCCAAGGCTCTGTTACATAAAGTGATCTTAGCACTACAATTGAAGAAAGTCAATGTTACAGTATGAAAGTTTGATTATCTATGGGCTAAGATTGCTTTGTGGAACGTGGCCCTGGTTTGTAATAGTTTGCCTTGTGCCACAGTTTGAGTAACTCAGGACACATATTTAGAAACGTCTGAAATAAAACACAAGAGTCATAATACAAGATCTATCATGATACACATTTTTGGAACAAACCCGTGTGAATAAACAGAGACAAACAAAAGCTGATCTTATTTCAAAATAACAGGGATTTAGTACACGTGGTACCAACATTTCCTGTACACTGCGAGCTGAATATCAACCTCCGAGGATGTCCCGATAAATCCCTGGTACCATACGATTACATCTAATATTGCAGTGTACTGGTGAAACAGTGATTGGCTTCGGGCCAAACTGTAAAAAAAAAAAGGATGTCGTGGAGAAACCATCAGCATCTGTTGATCGGAGTGATTTCTCCTACATAGACCATTTTATGGTTGATATCTAATTTCTCTATAAATTTTTATAATGCCCTAATGTAGTGTCAGTTTTACTTGCTACAATGACATTCAAAAGGACCAGTGAATTCCAGGCTCAGAATCAACTGCAACAACATAGCAAGACATCATCACGATGGTTTAAGGTTTTGTTAGCTAATCTGTTGAGGATGAGACTCCAGTGATTCACAATGATGGAGTTATTGAGATTTGGGCATCACGCCCAAACATACTATCATGACAGGTATCGTATTGTGGCAAAGTGCTTATCTACGTCTCACAGTGGTCCTGGGCTTATCCGTCCGACCACAGGGGACATCGCTCCCTGGTTTTGTCATCTTAAATATCATTGGAGCAATAAACAAAGTGTCTTTATGACTTCCTGTATTCTATCCTCTCGACCTTGACATCGTCGTTCATGAGTTTGTAGACGTACGCCACCACATTGGACTGCTGGATGTCCAAGATGACGAAAGATGGAGTTACATTACTGAAACACACAATTATATTATATGTATATTACTTGTTACAACAGGTAATACATGTTGGTAAAGATGGAGTTACATTACTGAAACACACAATTATATTATATGTATATTACTTGTTACAACAGGCAGTGGTAGAAACTAACAGTTTCAGTCCACTAGTCCTTATAATGATAACATATAGCAAAACCCCTAAAATTGGCAAATTTCTACTAGTCCTTATGATACCTTAACTATTGTGCAGATTGTCAAGTTTCGCAAGGACTACAGGACTAGTGCCAATTTCTAACCCTGACAGGTAATACATGTTGGTAAAGATGGAGTTACATTACTGAAACACACAATTATGTTATATATACAATACTTGTTATAACAGTAGTGAGTGAGTGAGTTGGTTTTAACACCGCTTTTAACAGTATTCCAGTTATATCACGACGCGTCAGCTTAATGTGGGAGGAAAGCCCTAAGTGATGCAGGTCTCGGACATTTACCACTTTGGTGAAACCCACAGGCACGGGTATGGTGCTGACAAGCCTTGAAACATAATCGGGGCGAACCGGGATTCGAACCCACAATCATAGGTTTCTGGCATGCCCAAGGGACGCAACTCTGCACAGCATATCGGTGTGCCTTAAACGACTGGGCCCTTCGTGCCCCCTGTTATAACAGTAATACCTGTTGGTAAATCTACACTCACTGTAGAGGTTTTCATGTTGAGGAATATTTGGTTCATATTTTCCAAAATTAGCGGTATCTTATCATTGCATTCAAAGCAAAAACAAAGCTAAGCATCAAAGCCTCTTCCTCTGTACGGGTCCTGAAGGTGAAATACAAGTCACCTCGGACATGTCTACAGAGACCAAACAGAAGCCTGATAGCAGGAATCGGGAAATGTTTGGGAGTTAGTACTACACCAGTAAACCATAATATGAAATACTAACCCAGTGTTCTTCACTATTGTGCCCTTCAATACAGTGCTAATTTGGTTATAGCGTGCGGTAAATGTACTTACATTTTGAATAAACTCAAGTTTTACAGTGACACAATGTTTCTCCATTTGCAAAAACAACATTTTTAGCTGATCACAAACACATAACACCAGAAACAAATCTGAACTGAAGATCACAATATAATCCCATTATTATACCATCTGGTTATAAAAGCATGTTCATTGTATATCTGAACTTATGTTTGTTTTAGCTTTCATAACTGCAAATCACAATATTTTTGGTAAATACCAGAATATTTGTGTTTTTCAAAATCATGTATATTTTCATCTTGTTGGTAAAGACAAGTCAAATCGAATTATGATATACAGAAATTAGCAACTGATCCCTGTGATCGAAGAAGCGAAACTACTTGCAACCAGTTTCTTGTATAATATGGCAATTACACATGATTTGAGACAATAACAACATCTTACAAAATGGTGGACGATTACTAAGTTGTCAAAAATGTGCAGGGAAAGATGTGCCAACTATATTTATCATCCAAAACTGGCTCTCACAGGAGATATCGCTAGGATGAGATCAAGCGATATCTACACTGTAGCTTCGCAGACCATTGTGACGTCACTGGTTACCATGACGTCACAATCAAATGACATCACTAATGGCTCTGCTACTGAAGCTGTTTGCAGTACTTTTTACACTGAAGACACTGCTAATTACTGTCTACAAATTGAAAAAGTTGAAAGAATGATGTTGGATGATAAATAAAATCCACCCTCATGTCTTTTGATATCAAATATATCAACACTCCTTGATAAAAGTGGCGACAAGCCTCGGAATTTTTCCACTTTTATCAACTCGTGTTGCTATAGTTGATATCAAAAGACACTTGGGTGAGATTCTCTATGTATCTGAGAAGGTCTAGAAACATCCCTGTTGTGACTGCGGCAACACTCACCAGTCAAGTGCATTGTAAGCCCCTGTAGCTGATCCAGGGTTGATGTAGAACTTTCCCTCATGTTCAAATGCTTCAAACTTGTGTGTCTGACCTGAGATGAGGATGTCAACGTCCAGTTGTCGCTGGACCATTGCAAGCGCTTCTGTGTCTCCCCATGGCACCACCTGGTGGCCATGACACAAACCAATCCTGAACTGCCCAACTGTTACAACTTTCTGTTCAGGGTAATTTATATTCTGGAGAAAAAAACATATACATGCATGTATATTTATTTATATATCACATAAGAGAAAAAGTGCCTTTTATCATGATTTGTTTGTTTGTTTGTATTTTAATGCTGCACTCACCAATATTCCAGTTATATGACAGTGGTTTGTAAATAATTGATAATGGCTTAGTGTCCGCTTTACAGCGGATGGTCAGCTTGGCAACAATAGTTGCCCTCGCTCATGGTTTGGCAATGGTACTTGCCTGGCAGCGATAGCTGCATAGCAACATGGGTTGCTTGGCAACGGTAGTTGCAGGGCAGCGGGCGCTGCATTGGTAAGCAACATGGGTTGCTTGGCAACGGTAGTTGCAGGGCAGCAGGCGCTGCATTGGTAAGCAACATGGGTTGCTTGGCAACGGTAGTTGCGGGGCAGCGGATGCTGCATCGGTAAGCAACATGGGTTGCTTGGCAACTGTTGTTGCAGGGCAGCGGTTGCTGCAGTTGGGGTTGCTTAACAGGGGTTAAGCTCATTGCCGTAGTCCACCAGTACCTCCACATCCGCGACCATTTCATCCAATTATGTCTCTTGTCTTAATTTGAAGCTCCGCTATCATGCATGATGGCGGAGCCTGTCATAATGGAGCCATGTCCTTATATAATGCTGCACTCACCAATATTCCAGTTATATGACAGTGGTTTGTAAATAATCGAGTCTGGACCAGACATTCCAGTGATTGACATCATGAGCATTGATCTATGCAATTGGGATACAATTACATTCATCAACCAAGTCAGCGAGCCTGACCATCCAATCCTGTTAGTCACTTCATATGTTAAGCATGGTAGCCTTTTATAGCAAGCATGTGTTGCTGAAGACCTATTCTAACCCAGATTTTCCCGGGAGGAGGGACAAGCATGGGTTGCTGAAGACCTATAACCCAGATCTTCAGAGGTTTCTTTTACTATGAATGTACAAGGACATGGGAAGTGTCATCCAAAATTAAACACACATTAGTCGAGGGGCATTATTTTCAGTATATTACTTCATCAAAAACCTCTACCATGTCTACTATCATGACTATAGTATTATAACCGAGTGACCCCAAAACATATATTATCAAACATACACAGCGTCATGTCAATTAATGTTCATGTTTAATTTCAAACACTGTCATCATGGTCACTGCTAATAGAAGATTAAAGACTTGCTGCTGATAGGTCGGTGTAGCTAGGAAAAGACATACACATCGATTGTCTCAGTCTTTATGAGTTAGATCAATATATGAATAAATAATTATCGAAATTACATAGAAACAATGCCCCAATTTCACACAGCGCACAAATCATAACCTGTATGACAAACCGTGAAGCATATATAGCTATGACAGTGTATCTTAATGCATCCTCAAGTTAAAAGAACATCGTGGCTATACTTGATGGTGCAGCAATGTTTACCTCATCAAAATCTCCTTTGACGACATGCACATCACTGGCTAGTGTCTTGAGATAATCGAAGGAATCCTTAGTACAGAGATTTCCTGTACACAAGATGTGCTGGATCTTTCCTGGCACAAGAAGTTTCTTGAAACGAGCAGGGAGATTGTTACATCTGTGTGGAATGTGTAGGTCTCCTAATACAAGGACCAACTAGAACAGAGAAACAATATCATTTAGAATGATGATAAAATGGTGATGATTAATATTTTAGTAAGCAGTTATGACCTGTTTGTGATAAGGCAAGATTTCAGAATGAATATAGTACCGCAATGACCTAGTAACAGCTAACATATACAGAAAATGATGATAATAATCACAACAATATCATGCAATGTAATTAGACATCAATTTCTGACAACACAGACACTCCCCCTTTACCATCCAGAACATATCTGACGTACGCTCTTTGAAGTACAAACAATGCGACAAAAGCGTGCACAGAATAGATTATAATGTTCATATGGATGCAAAGATGAAAAAATCGTTTTAAACTAAGCCTTTTATGTACCATTTTCGTGTGTGAATAGTTCCTTCAGCTCACAGAGAAATACTATTTCCTCTCATGTGACAAGCGGGTTATAGCTAAAACGGCACCTCGGCAAAACGTCAACTGGCGAAAACGGCATTGATTTGGCTTTGCCCCTAGGTGGGTTTCTCACCCACAGGTGTGTAAGAAATTCTCGTTTTTCCAAGTTCACCAAAAACAGCAGCATTTGAAGATTTGTATCCTATTTTCAAAGTATATTTACAAAATTTAGTATGTATAATTTCAATGCTTTTTCTAACGTTTGTATCATATTTCCGCATTATATAGCAAAATGTTGAAATGTTATAACAAGTTTACATTAGGAATTAGCCCCCTACTCGACGACTCTGATTGGGAGGCGCAACTAACTTATTGTGAAAACATTATATGCTTTGAAGTAAAATAAATTAAATTAAACTCACATCGTTTCTTACAAACAAAAATAATTGTGCAATGTTAAAACAAGTTTACATTAGAAAATAACATGTTAATACATCAAATATCATGTAAATAAATCATATATACTACTACATAAATCGTTCTTATCGTTATTGAAAATAGAGGTGCCGTTTTTGCCCATCACATAGTAGCCGTTTTCGCTCAAATGCGGTGCCGTTTTCGCCAGAGATATCGGTGACGTTTTGCTGAGGTGCCGTTTTAGCCTGCACCCTGACAAGCAAGTGCTCGTTCTGTAAATCTAACGCTGATTGGTCCATGGATCAATTCTGGCCAATGGAATTACCAGTTGCAAACGCTGTCCATATTGTCAACATGGCGGACAAAATGAATTTTGCGGGAATTTGCAAAATAATAAAATACTTAACTGATTCAGTTTCATTTTAATATTAACGAAACTTTCAGAAAAGCTACAAAATGAAATGTGTGATACCTGGACTAAACTTAAAAGGTATTATCTTATCGTCTCTTGAGAGTTTTCATTCGTACACAAACTCGCAAACCCAACGTTTGATGTAGCAACAGACCAGCTGGAACAATTCTTCTCCCGCGAGTCAGATATTAGTAGAGTGTAATATATTGGGGCCGACATATTACATCAGAGATACTACGAGGAAGACCAGACAAATGTCGACTACCGTGACATTGCATCTTTAGAAATTGGCACTAACCCTGTAGTCCTTGCCAAACTGCCCAATAGTTAAGGTATCCTAAGGACTAGTAGAAATTTGCCATTTTTAAGGGTTTTGCTATGTTATCATTATAAGAACTAGTGGACTAAAAATGTTAGTTTCTACCTCATCATTGTCACTTAGAGTTAAAGGAACATAGATAATAACTAACCTCCCCTTCTAGTTTGTGTTCATTGCTCCCATTCCACTCATTTAGGCACTGTACTCTTAGAGCCTGTGAAGACCTCCAAGTCGTAGAAGGCAAATAGACAAGTAGGGGTTATCAAAGTCTGTGACTTTGTTGGTGTGTGCCTTGTACACCGATGTTGCCCATAATTTCCAAGATTTCAATGGCATGTTTAAAGTAAGTTACTGCTGCCTGAAGGGCACGCTTGAATCATACCCGGGTACCCACTGTAGGTCTCAAGACTTGGGAACACAATGTCTAATTGGGAATAGTTTAACTGTTGCCCTGGCAAAAACTGTTTAGATACATGTATGAAACCAGACCTCATATAATAGATATATGGTCTCTTATGAAATGATCGAATCATGCGTACACTGAAGTTGACTGAAGCTTTATCTTTACTCAAACATATACAAGTCAAAATGAATGTGTGCATCAGCATAAAGAAATGAGAACATTAGCAACTTGTAGTGTAACCACTGATCTCCCGTGAGTTTTTGTCATTAAACAATATAAGACCTACATAACCTGACAAACATTGAAAATGTTGAACATATGAACACTTGCACAGTATAATTCACACTGTAATGTTAAGGTAGTCAGACATGAAAAGGGTATTATCAATCTCAATTAAAGGAAAGGGGGCAAACTTGCAACATTACAACTGCATATTATATTGCCTTGTCCCTGTACATGTGTAATATTGGCTTGATCGGTCACTGGATTAGTTACACTGTAGATCCTGGCCACCTACAGCATCTACAAGTTCCAGGATATTTTGTTGGGTTCATGAACTTTTCATCTTGTTAATTATTTCCATATGGTTTCAGTTGTATAAATAAATGTTTTTGTTGTTCAAACTGTTTTTTGCTGTTATATTTTATCAATGTTAGTGCCTCCTAAATTATCAAAAGCATGAATAACATCCTAAAAAGATGCTACAGAATTCTGGTTCTTGTCTAGTAGTAAGTGTAGGTTAGATCTAATAACCAAATAGGTTTATACATCATGAGGTATAGATTAGCGCATCTTTTTATATTGTATGCACAATCATTGACGTTATTTTTTATGAAATATCATCAAGAATGAATTCCGCCTCTGAGGACAGGGATGATATTGAAATGACTAAAGTGCTTGACAATAGGGCTGGGACGAGTCCAAATTTACTACCCGGGTACCCACATCCCTATTACCCGACCCTACCCGGGTACCCGCTGTTGGTGTCAAGAGATAGGTATAAAATGTCCGATTGGGAATAGTTTGACAGTAGCCCTGGCCGAATGTTTTTAGATACACGTATAAAACGATGTGGTCATGCATACACTGAAGTTGACTGAAGTTTTAGCTTTGTTCAAACATATTGAGACAGAAGGAACATTTCATGAAGAAATGCGAACAGTAGAGACTTAAACCTTTTCGTGTAACCATGTAGTTATAATTATAATGATTTTTGTCATGAAACAATATATCACGTGACTAACCAGTCCTGTGGGTACCCGGGTCCTACTCAGTCCCCACCCGACCCGAGTACCCGAGTACCCGAGTACCCGAGTTACCCATCCCAGCCCTATACATTACAACACTAAAATATTCTTTTGTAGACATGGTACGTTACTAGTAGAGTGGGTTTATATATATTCAGTATATCACATAATAATTGATACTCAAAGCTGTTAATTAATCACATTCTCAACCTATAATGTTTTCTCTTTGTTTACAGTGTTTGGAAGAGCTATCCACTCCTTGTCCAAGATTGGAGATGAACTCTACATTGAACCCCAGGAAGATGGAGTAGGTTTTAAAATCAAATCAAAGTGATGTGTTATTACGTGAGCTTTCACAATGATCCAGTAAGAAATAACCTGTAGGGGGAGTAGGGCTGGGACGAGTTCAAATTTACTACCCAGGTACCCAACCCCCTATTACCCGACCCAACCCGGGTACCCACTGTAGGTCTCAAGACTTGGGAACACAATGTCTAATTGGGAATAGTTTAACTGTTGCCCTGGCAAAAACTGTTAAGATACATGTATGAAACCAGAGACCTTATAATAGATATATGGTCCCTTATGAAACGATCGAATCATGCGTACACTGAAGTTAACTGAAGCTTTATCTTTACTCCAACATGTACAAGTCAAAAGGAATGTGTGCATCATCATAAAGAAATGAGAACATTCGCGACTTGTAGTGTAACCACTGAGCTCTAGTGAGTTTTTGTCATTAAACAATATGTCACGTGACTAACCACGGGTCCGGGTAGTACTGTGGGTACCCGGGTCCTACTCAGGACCGACCCGAGTTACCCGTCCCAGCCCGAAGGGGGATTTAGACATTTGTCAACATGGTCAGCTTGTTAGTCGTTCATGAATTTTTGCAGTGATTCCCTGTTAGAATTGGTCCCCAGCAACTTTAGATGCTGGTCATAGGAGGATAGGGTGGTCAGGCTCTGTGACTTGGTTAACTGCATGTCATCCTCATGATTACAGGGGGCGGTGGGGTAGCCTAGTGGTTAAAGTGTTCGCTCGTCACGCCAGAGACCCGGGTTCGATTCCTGACGTGGGTACAATGTGTGAAGCCCATTTCTGGTGTCCCCCGCCGTGACATTGCTGGAATATTGCTAAAAGCAGCATAAAACCATACTCACTCACTCACTCGTGATTACAGAAAATTAAGATCTATATTTGATCAAATTTAGAAGACTTTGTTTAAAACATGTTACCATGCTTACAAAAACAAAACTATTGTCACCAGGTTAGATTTCCCTATTTTTCGGGTGATGTCCTATAGGACAAAAACATATCACGAAGCTGGGGAACTGCAGGCAACATGTTGCACCTTACCCAAATACAAGTCCATCAACTGTACCCACTTGTACCATATTTTGACTAACTCCTGTCTTCCACATGGTCATTATATTTATCCGATTATTTGTTCTGAATGTTGCGCTAATCATTTTAGGCAGTGTGTGCCCAAAACATTTGAGACTACTAGCCCAAACATGGCCCTAGCATCATTTTCAGTAGAACTTCGTGTCATTATTGGGGCGGTCGGGTAGCCTTATGGCTAAAGCGCTCGCTCGTCACGCCAAAGACCTGGGTTCAATTCCCGACATGGGTACAATGTGTGAAGCCCATTTCTGGTGTCCCTCCACCGTGATATTGCTGGAATATTGCTATAAGCGGCGTAAAACCATACTCACTCACTCACTCGTGTCATTATGCAATGTTATAGGGACTATTTTCAGGAGTGCTCACAGATCAAGCTAAATTTTACAAGACAATGGCACCAGACCAGTGGCTAAACTTGCAGACATGTATATGTTTAATCCTCATTTTTATACAAATATGGCAATGGACATGAAGAATAGTTTTTAAGGAAATTCTTGAACTAATCAACAACAGCTTGTCCAGTTTAATCTCACAGCCACTGTAACAATTGTTATTTGTTCCCTCCTACAGCATGTGTAAACATCACAGGCTCATTCAGCGTTCTGTTTCAGCTGGCTCTTCGCACGGTCAACTCGTCCCGGTCAGCGTATGCTTGTTTCCTGTTTTCACCCAGCTTCTTCCAGCATTACGATGACGGCTCTGGCCTCACCAGCTCGGAGGACAGCGATGAGGAGGGGTTCCGCTGTAAACTGGGCATGAAGGTGTGTACGAATTTTAACAGATTACACGTCAGATTGTACGTAGGTCTAACATATAGTCTTATTGACCTAGCAGGTTTCAAAATTCCTTATATACTAGTGCCAAAGGATTGATTCTGTTCTTGCCTGCTTGTTTTGTCTTATAATTGCTTTTTTTGAAAATGTTGATATTTGTTTTTAAATGTTCTAACTTTCACATATCCACAAATGGGTATGTTCAAATGATTTAAGGAATGTAACAGCCAGTGGTAACACATATTGCCCCCCCAAAGGTGTATAGTACATTGATTTACTGATACTTGTAGAGACACAGTGCTATATGTACGTCACTAGGGTTGAACAGCTCTGGCTTTGTAGAATGTCATAAAACATAAGACCGCCTCCGTGGTCTAGTGGTAGAGCGTCCGCCCAGAGAGCTGAAGGTCCGGGGTTCGATCCCCGACCGCGTCATACCAAAAGACGTTAAAAGATGGTACTTGTTGTTACCCTGTCTGGTGCTTGGCATTAAGGGGCTAAAACAAGGACTGGTCAGCTCGGAGTCAGTATACTGTGTCTGAATGGGGTATTCATGTTAAACTGCGGCATGGTATCTCAGTGAGCTAGCACTATAAATCGGCATCAGTCTGGACTAGTACAAGCAGCCACACACACACACACACACACACACACACACACACGTGCATGCACATCGCTTTATAAGTGCAATAATCTTGGACGCGACATTAAACCCCATTTCACCTCACCTCACCATAAAACAATAATCTATGTGTCAAACAGACCCGCGGTAGAAGGAACACAGTGACTTTGTACCTTTGAGCTAACTCAAAAATGGAAATTACCTCTAGCAAACTGCCTTTGGCATCAAATGTTAATTCCTGGTTATTTCCATGGTATTTCAATGAATTTAGATCATTGCTTTTCTTTCTGTTGTTCCAGTCCATTCTAACAGTGTTCCGCTCCCTGTACACGATAGAGAAGACTGTTGAGAGGTGTAAGATCCATCTGGACAGCGAGGAGTCACGCCTGGTCTTTCAGTTGCACTGTCGGCACGGTGGGTCTTAGTTGAACTGTTGTCATGGTGGGTCTTAGTTAAACTGTTGTCATGGTGGGTCTAAGTTGATCTGTCGGCACGGTGGGTCTTAGTTAAACTGTTGTCATGGTGGGTCTTAGTTGATCTGTCGGCACGGTGGGTCTTAGTTGATCTGTCGGCTCGGTGGGTCTTAGTTAAACTGTTGTCATGGTGGGTCTTAGTTAAACTGTTGTCATGGTGGGTCTTAGTTGATCTGTCGGCACGGTGGGTCTCAGTTAAACTGTTGTCATGGTGGGTCTTAGTTAAACTGTTGTCATGGTGGGTCTTAGTTGAACTGTTGACATGGTGGGTCTCAGTTAAACTGTTGACATGGTGGGTCTTAGTTAAACTGTTGTCATGGTGGGTCTTAGTTGATCTGTCGGCACGGTGGGTCTCAGTTAAACTGTTGACATGGTGGGTGTTAGTTGAACTGTTGACATGGTGGGTCTCAGTTAAACTGTTGACATGGTGGGTGTTAGTTAAACTGTTGTCATGGTGGGTCTCAGTTGAACTGTTGACATGGTGGGTCTCAGTTAAACTGTTGACATGGTGGGTCTAAGTCAAGGGCAAGCACAGTCATGACAACAGGGGGAGAAAAATCGGCAGGTCCAAGACCAGAAACATTTCATGTGGGACCAGGGGCGGTCGAGTAGCCTAGTGGTTAACGCGTTCGCTTGTCACACCGAAGTCCCGGGTTCGATTCCTGACATGGGTACACTGTGTGAAGCCCATTTCTGGTGTCCCCCTCGATGATTTTGCTGGAATATTGCTAAAAGTGGCGTAAAACCATACTCACTCACTCACTCATGTGGGACCAAGCGTTTTAATGGTCAGTTGTTTCTAGGGACCGGCTCATTATCAATTTCAAATAAACTCAAGACCCGTGAAGATTCTGGGGTAGAATATGTCTTCAGTAACCCATGCTTGCCGTAAAAGGTGACTATGCTTGTTGTAAAAGGCGACTAATGGGATCGGGTGGGTAGGCTCGCTGGCTTGGCTGATGGATGTCATCGATCCCAGTTCCGTGGATCGATGCTCATGATTGTCTGGTCCAGACTCGATTATTTACAGACCGCCGCATATAGCTGAAATATTGCTGACTGTGGCGTTAAACAACAAACCAACCAACAAATAAATTCAAACTAATAACAATTATATAAGATATATTTTCATCTACATTAAAAAATCAACTTTGTCCAAAAATATTGCAAAAAGGCAGGATTGTTTGTCTATCTCTATCTGTGTTCATAACATCAGTTAAGAGTGAGTGAGTGAGTATGGTTTTATGCCGTTTTTAGCAATATTCCAGCAATATCACGGCGGGGGATACCAGAAATGGGCTTCACACATTGTACCCATGTCGGGAATTGAACCCGGGTCTTCGGCGTGACGAGCAAACGCTTTAACCACTAGGTTTACCAACCGCCCCCATCAGTTAAGAAACATGGTAAAGCTAGTTGTAGAAATGTAAAGTGCTGTTGATACTTATCGAGTGTAATTTCATTTCAGGTATTGTGAAGACTCACAATTTAGCTTTTATAGAATGTGAGCAACTGCAGGCTGTGTTCTCTAAAGACCTCTGTCCAAACAGGCTAACAGCTCCCTCAAAGTAAGCAACTTTCATTATGTATGTTTCACATCCAATCATCAAATATAATCATTTGTTTGTTTGTTGTTTAACGCCGCACTCAGCAATATTCCAGCTATATGATAGTGATCTGTAAATAATCAAGTCTGGACCAGACAATCCAGTGATTGATGTGACGAGCATCGATCCACACAATTGGGATCGATGACATGCATCAACCAAGTCCCCGAGCCTGACCACCTGATCCCGTTAGTCGCCCCTTAATGACAAGCATAGTCGCCTTTTACGGCTAGCATGGGTTGCTGAAGATTTATTCTACTCCATTAAAAAGTCGATGAATCCTTTATTATAACTGTAATCCTGTAATCTTTTTGGAATAATTGTAACATTAGACGTGTTGTAAATGGCTTCATGATAAAATCCACATGTTACCTTTCAGACTTCTTTGTGATGTAGTTGTGAATTTTCAACACAACCAGGAAGAGATAACTCTGATTGTGAATCCCAACAAAGTAGCTCTGAAGAACTATACCGATGATGAGCAAGGTATGTTACAGTTCAAATCTGAATGTTGTGAAATGATCTGACTTTAACCTGCAGTGTAGTACACAACTGCTAAACATTGTTCTGCCCCAGCTTGAAAAACGGGGCTACAGCGATCAGCATGTCCGTTCATCCAACTGTTCACTATCTGTATTCAGTTTCCGGAGCAGAACTCCTAAACCATTGAACATGTTGAACACTTCTTGTTGAAACAATTGATGAGGCTTGCTATATAGATCAGTCTGGTGGTGAACTGGCATGACTGGTGCCTTTTGATGATTTGGGAATTTTTATCTATATTTCACGAATATGAGGGCAGTGCTCATTCCAAACCATTGAATATTACTTTATGAAACATGTTATACAGATCAGTCTAGTTGTGAACTGGTGTCTTTTGATGACTTAGGGTATTTTGAAATGCTGAAGAGCATCATGTTTTTCTTCACTGAACTGAAGGTATCCAATGGCAATGAACCCAAATGGAGAACAAGTATGACTCTTGTTTTTAGTTTTCATTGTCTGGAAAGTCTTTAAATTAAATGGCTTTATAAAAATTCACTTGAAATTGTAATCATGGTTATGAATAGAGTGGTTACAATAAATTCATTATCGTCGAGTTGTATGTTGTTCATCTTGTCTATACAATGGTAAAACCTTTATTGACACACGACTTGCTTTTCTAGTTAGTGTCAAAATAAGTTTTAATTTATGTTTTTTATTAGTTAGGCATAAACTACTTTGCAAATTAATTCCTGTTACGTAACTGAAAGAGTGAGTGAGTTGGGTTTAACGCTGCTTTTAACAGTATTCCAGTTATATCACAGCTTGTCAGCTTAATGTTGGAGGAAAGCCCGAAGTGATGCAGTTTTCAGACGTTTACCACTTCGGTGAAACCCACGAGCACGGGTATGGTGCTGACAAACCTAGAAACATAATTAAGGTGAACCGGGATTCGAACCCATAATCATAGGTTTCTGGCGTGCCCAAAGTGCAACTCTGCACAGCAAATCGCGGCGTCTTAGACGCCTTGGCCACACACTGTGCTCCCTCGTATCTGTAAGAAGAGTGATGAGTAAAACTTAGTAGTTGTAATGTGTAGTTTAGGAGTTGTCATGTGCTGTAGCATGACATTACTAGGTGAATAGAGACACATTCCACCTCTCTTTTACTGTTACATCTCTCCTCAGACCAGGCCAAGGTCGTACACACAGAGCTGACCTTGACCCCAGAGGAATTTGACAACTGTCAGGTCGGGGTCGACACGGAGATCACATTCTGCCTGAAGGAACTCCGGGTGAGTGGGGTGAAGTGAAGCGTTCAGCAATAGACTCAGTCAGCACTACTCCAGCCACCTGTACATAATCAAGTCTGGCCCACCAGTGTCTCATAGCAATGATCCATGATGACACACAGTCAGGAAGGTCACACACTGTAAACTGCCTCCATGGTCTAGTGAAAAGAGCATCTACCCAGAGAACAGATGATCAGTGGTTCCATCACTTGCCCTGTTACTAAAAGACGTTATAGGTGGTGCTTGTTACCCTGCCTGCGCTCGACATTTGGGGGATAAAAAGGACTGATCGCCTGGAGTCCCAGCGTTAGAAATTGGCACTTGGTATCTTAAGGACTGGTACAAATTTGCCCTTTTTAAGAGTTTTGCTATGTGATAGCATTATAAGGACTAGTGGCCTAAAACTGTTAGTTTCTATTGCTGAGTCCGTATACTGTGTCTGAGTGGAGTATCCATGTTGAGCAGCAACATCTAGCACTATAAAGGGGGCAGTATTCCAGCCAAGTACAAGCAGCCATGCACATACTTGTGTATGCACGTTGCTGTATAAGTGCAATAATCTTGAACGTAACGATAAACCCCATTTCACTTCACCTCACAGACTGTTAATATCTGACATTTGTGGGATCTTACCACAAGCATGGAAGGTATTCTGAACCTGAAACCCGTCAGGAGAAGACAAGACAGGTGAAATAAATACTTAACTGATAGTTGATAAAGCAGTCAAAGGATATGAAGACAGACCTAAGTATTAACAATCATCTCTTGCCTCATAGACTTGTGATCCAGGTTAGAAGATATCTTCAGCAACCTATGCTTGCCGTAAAAGGTGACTATGCTTGTTGTAAGAGGCTACTAACAGGATCGGGTGGTCAGGCTCACTGATTTGGTTGATGCATGTCATCAAAATCCCAATTGCGTGGATTGATGCTCATGTTGTCAATCACTGGATTGTCTGGTCCAGACTCGATTATTTAATGCCTGCTGTCATATAGTTGGAATATATTGCTGAGTGCGGCATTAAACTACAAACAAACAAAATTATTTTCTTGTTTCTTGAGTTTGCAGGATTCTAATGGGAATTTTCATCCCTCTTTTTTCCCCAGGCTATTCTGGCATTTACAGAGGTGACCAACTTACCTTTGAACATCCATTTTGAGACGCCAGGGAGGTAGGAACATACATGTCCATCGTCATAAAGAATTTGAATATTGTAATGTATATGGTGTGGGTACAGTTTACAGTGCCTCCTGGTTTTCAAATATATCTATAAAAATACAGATATGGAGACCTCCTTTGAAGTCATGAAATACAGTCCAATGAAAAATATTTCATAGGACACTTCAGTCACAGTAACATGAAATACTTGTTCTGTTATTATACCTTTCTGCTTGAAGATCTGACAACACACATCTGGTGACCTTTCTAATCAGCCAGTCAGCATCAAGGCTTTTAAGTTTCCGCAAGCCAAGCATTCTGAGCAGCATATCTGATTTGTGTACCGACCGACCCACCCACCGCTATCCTACCTACCTACCTACCTACCTACCTACCTACCTACTAACTCACTCACTAACTCATTCACCTAGTTATCCCCCGCCGCGCGAAAGCGCGAAGCGGGGGATATAGTATTCACGACCGTCCGTACGTACGTCCGTACGTCCGTCCGTACGTCCCACCTGTTTGTTGCCGCGATATCTCAAGAACTAAACACTGGATTGTCTTCATATTTGGAACTATGGTGTATATACAGACTCCGCAGACACCAGTCGGTTTTGGTGACCTTGACCCCATTTTCAAGGTCACAGCAGACAAATCTGCTTTTAGAGTTGGAAAACGGTGTTGCCGCGATATCTCAAGAACTAAACACTGGATTGTCTTCATATTTGGAACTATGGTGTATATACAGACTCCGCAGACACCAGTCGGTTTTGGTGACCTTGATCCCATTTTCAAGGTCACAGCAGACAAATCTGCTTTTAGAGTTGGAAAACGGTGTTGCCGCGATATCTCAAGAACTAAACACTGGATTGTCTTCATATTTGGAACTATGGTGTATATACAGACTCCGCAGACACCAGTCGGTTTTGGTGACCTTGATCCCATTTTCAAGGTCACAGCAGGCAAATCTGCTTTTGGAGTTGGAAAACGGTGTGTTGCCGCGATATCTCAAGAACTAAACACTGGATTGTCTTCATATTTGGAACTATGGTGTATATACAGACTCCGCAGACACCAGTCGGTTTTGGTGACCTTGATCCCATTTTCAAGGTCACAGCAGACAAATCTGCTTTTGGAGTTGGAAAACGGTGTTGCCGCGATATCTCAAGAACTAAACACTGGATTGTCTTCATATTTGGAACTATGGTGTATATACAGACACCGCAGACACCAGTCGGTTTTGGTGACCTTGACCCCATTGTCAAGGTCACAGCAGGCAAATCTGCTTTTGGAGTTGGAAAACGGTGTTGCCGCGATATCTCAAGAACTAATCGCTGGATTGTCTTCATATTTGGAACTATAGTGTATATACAGACACCGCATACACCTGTCAGATTTGGTGACCTTGACCCCATTTTCAAGGTCACAGCAGGCAAATCTGTTTTTGGAGTTGGAAAACGGTGTTGCCACAATATCTCAAGAACTAATCGTTGGATTGTCTTCATATTTGGTACTATGGTGTACAGGCGGGGGATATTTCGTCACTCTGTGACAAATACTTGTTCTCCATGTTTCTTCACAGACCAGTAGTGTTCACAGGAGACAGTGATCATTCATTCATTCATTCATTCATTCTCTCTCTCACTCACTCACTCACTTATTCCATGTTTCATCAAAGACTAGTAGTGTTCACAGAAGACAGTGATCATTCATTCATTCATTCTCTCACTCACTCACTCACTCACTTATTCCATGTTTCATCAAAGACTGGTAGTGTTCACAGGAAACTGATCATTCATTCATTCATTCATTCTCTCTCACTCACTCACTCACTCAGTTCTCCATGTTTCTTCACAGACCAGTAGTGTTCACTGTAGACAGTGATCAGACATTCGAGGCCAGCTTTGTTCTAGCGACGCTGGCGGAATCAGAAGTCGGAGCATCACAGCAGCCGTCTCAAGTCCGGGGGAAGAAACAGACAAGACATAACAACAGGTCTGAGAAACACAGGGATTCACTCACTCCTTCAAAATATTCCAAAGTTCAAACCCAGTTAATAATATTGTCATAACATCAACATTGTTTGATGTTAAATCCCAACTTTTGACATATTGCATGCTGTCAACAATACAGACTATGAATGACATTCACTGACTGAAAAGATTTTCAATGACAGCAGTTGACACCTGTAAAAGGGGAGATAACTCTGGATAGACTACTACGCAAACAAGAGGGTTGACAATTGTGGAAATCCTTTCAGTGAACCAGCATTATTGGCAGCTTCCAGGTGTGATGTTTCAATAGAACACATCCTGGAAAGTTGGAAATTGTACTAGCACTCAAAATGTCTAAAATATGGTATAACTGATCAGGCTAATGCTAATTTGTATCCTTGGTAAAGACAAGGCTGCAGGAGATGGGTGACAGACAATGCAATGTTGTGTGCTGAAAAGTGGGAACCAGACCGTGCTGGTATTGGCCTAATGTAGTGGGAAATCATAAACATAGCAGGGATGTTTTTACATACAAATACAACAACCCAAAATTATGATTTGGTTTAATTAATCATGTTATTGGTGAAGTTGACAATTCAGCACCAAGCCTTTTAGAAGAGTTATGTCCCTTGGACTAATGAATTTGGTGTCAGTGGTGTTATTTTGTCTGCCAGCAGTTGGTTGTTGGGTAGCAAACTACTTGTATTTTTTAAAACATTGTCAACCCCTGCTTGTCATAAGAGGCGAGTAATGGGATCGGGTGGTCAGACTCGCTGACTTGGTTGATGCATGTCATCGTATCCCAATTGCGTGGATCAATGCTCATAATGTCAGTCACTGGATTGTCTGGTCTAGATTCAATTATTTACAGACCACCGTCATATAGCTGGAATATTGCTGAGAGTGGCAAACAAACAAACAACTTGTATGACTGATTTGCAATTTGCAGCAGAAGCTTACACAATGTGTGAAGACCATTTCTGGTGTCCCCCACCATGCTAAAACAATCTCACTCACTATCTGAAATAAAAGTTACAATATATAAAAAGAGTCCACAATATATAATTTTGAAAAATGTCAAACATTTGTCATTTTGATGTGATGACCTGGGTAGCAAGAAATTTGAACAAAGATTTATTTTTTTTAGTAGCAAGAGGTCGTATGCAAGTCAGAGTCAAACCCATAAAGGAGGTCGGAGCAGGCTGACACAGAGTACCGCCTCTGCGTCCAGGCTAACCAATGGCATGTCACATCACAGGTAGGTTGTGTTGTCAAGTCATCGAGTCGATAGTCGCGGCCATGTTGATTTTTCATATGCAATTATGAAGATAGGAATTTAAAGGACAAGGTATGAAAAGGCCCTTTTTGACCCCTAGGTTTTGCATAGTGCACAGAAATAGCAAGCTTTCACAGTTCTTGCCATTTATCTGATATTTCCATGTGCAGAAGACTTTGACCTTGTTTATTTCAGCAAGTTGATGATTTAGACTAATAGTGAGTGAGTGAGTTGGGTTTAAAGCCGCTTTTAACAGTATTCCAGTTATATCGCGGCATGTGAGCTAAATGTGGGAGGAAAGCCCGGAGTGATACAGGTCTCAGACATTTACCACTTCGGTGAAACACTCGAGCAAGGCTATGGTGCTGACAAACCTAGAAACATAATCGGAGCGAACCAGGATTCGAACCCACAACCATAGGTTTCTGGCGTGCCCAAGGGACGCAACTCTGCACAGCGAATCGTGCCTTAGACGACTGGGCCCCCCGTGCCCCACTAGACTAATTACAAAACTAAATGTCGAGATAAAACTAAAGTGTGTCAAAAATGCTGATTTTCGAAGTTTTTAGACCTGATGAAGGAGCAAGAAGTAGTTCTGAAACATACAAAGAATAAAAGAAGTGGCTATCCATAAAAATGTGTCATGTATTCAGGTTTTTAGATACATTTTTCTGAAATGTGAAGATTATGAGCAGGACTTTGACATTACTACCATGGGGAAACATTCATCTTGGGGCACAGACTTGCTCATATGGAGATGTTCTCTTGAAGTTTTCAATTTTCACTCATTTTATTCTTGATCATGTCAGATGTCAGAAAACTTGCAAGTGTACAAAGTAGGAAGCTAGTATCAGCCATGTGCGATAAGTTTCATACCTGTCTCTCACCAGATTTCAACCAGCATCCTCGGGTTTGTGTCATGCAGTCTTTTCTTTTGCTTGGGGAGAAGTGCGGGATACACTATTTAATCATTTATGTGTATCTTGAACTAGATGGGGTTATGTGTGAATATTTGAGATCCGTTGTTGATTCACTTTCATGTACATGTATATGAGTAGAAGCACAACCACAATCAATTGTAGATACAGTAAACTATGTTTATAACGAACACGCTTATAACAAACTGACGGATATAACGAAATGTGTTTTGATCCCGTCCATTTGCTGTATATTTGCTGTATATTTGCTTATAATGGACTACCGTTATAACGAACTAAAATTACTGTTCCCTTTGAGTTTGTTATAACTGTAATTTACTGTATATGTTTTTAGATATCTGGTTTAGTGATCCTGTGACCCTATATTTACTATTTGAGGATTCTTGTTCTCTTCCTAAAAACAAAATGGAAAAAAAGTGAACATAGGTCATAGGTCACTTTTATAACATTCCAAAACTCATTGTTTTATTTCCTGTTCCCTTTATATCATCCAAACCGCTTTTATAAGATCAATTAAAAAAAACTTTTGAAATTTTATTCCTGTATGTTTATTTCAATGATGACAATATAAATTTGTTCCAAAAGATTGTAAACAAATTAGTTTTTTAAAAAGAGGCCAGGTGAGCAAGGATATACCTTGTAGCCTGGCGATATACCATTACCGTATTCAACGTAATAAGCACCCCGCTCTAATAAGTGCCCACGGCAGTATTTGCTAATATAATGGCAAGTGAACAATCCCAATTAGCATCCTGATCGATCCGATTGATCAATGTTCACAAGACTTATTTAGTTGTGTACAATGCATTATATATGCACCCTTATATGGGCAATTAAATTGTAGAAAAATATATCTGTTGTACATAAACATTTCAGGCTGTCAGCATAACCCACGAAATTTATCTTTCAACTCTGTTTTTTTTCACCAAAATAATATTCTAAGAAGAGCCCCCTATTTCTTATTTTGAGAGTGCCTTGGGTGCTTAATACATCGAATACGGTATATGCATTACATCATGCAGACCCAACACCAGCTCAGACCGAGGAGTTGCAGCAGATCTGGATGACACAGTGGAGGCTGAGGTAGAAATTAATGAAGCAACTATCCATCATGGTGATGCCATGGAAACAGAACAGCCTGTCACCGATGAAGGGGGTCGGCTGCAGGGGTCAAGGTCACCTAAACCTTCAGGGTCAACCGTGAGCGACCCCAGTCCTGTAATCCCAGTGCAGAGTGATAGACCTACAGTGAGTTGTTTGTCTGCAGTGTCCTCGAATCTTTTGTGATAGGGAGTCAGTAGTGACAGAGAGTGAGTGAGGTTTAATGCTGCTTTGAACAGTATTCCAGTTATATCACAGTGTTTCAGCTTAATGTGGGAGGAAAGTCTAATGTCATGCAGGTCTGAGACGCCACTTTGGTGAGACACATGAGTCTGGTGCTTACAAACCTTGAAACATGATAAGGGTGAATCTGGATTCGAACCCACGATCTTAGGTTTCTGGTTTGTTTTGTTTGTTTGTTTGTTTGTTTAACGCCACACTCAGCAATATTCCAGCTATATGACGGCGGTCTGTAAATAATCGAGTCTGGACCAGACAATCCAGTGATTAATATCATGATCATCGATCCACGCAATTGGGATCGATGACATGCATCAACCAAGTCAGTGAGCCTGACCACCCAGTCCTGTTAGTCGCCTCTTACAACAAGCATAGTCGCCTTTTATGGAAAGCCTGGGTTGCTGAAAACCTATTCTACCCCGGATCAAACCAAACCAAAACTAAGTAAGAACATGTTGTTTCAGGACACAAGGGTTCCAGCAGAGGAATCAGTACTACAAGACGTGGGAGAAGACGAGGAGGAGGAGGAGGAGGAGGAGCTGGTCCCAGGCACTCCCCCCAGCAAGAAGGTAGATGGGGAGCTTCTGGAAAGACTTTTGATTGTTTTTTAAATTAGATTCCACTTGTGCATTGTTTTCTTTTTGGCTTATATTTGCACCTCAGTTTTTTATTTCTATATGGCCATGTTGAGACCATGGTGAATCATCTGTTTGTCATAAACATCAATGTTTCAACGTCAAGAATGTGTAACTACAAACTTCTATTTGCGTAAGTATTATGATAAAATATATTTTTGTTGTATGTGCAGAGTTACTTCCCTTTCACAAAGTCATCATTATGTTTATACCGAAAAGTTTTGATACACATCACGAAACAGTCACTTTATGTCACAATATATCGGATATAACAACGTATCACAATATGATTCCAATGGAAGAGTGTGCAGCAATCTGATTGGTTGTTAATAGTTAAATTAGATTTGAAGACCAGAAGTCTTCTTATTTCTGTACTTATTTAAAACAATACAGCAAGATATGGTTATCACAAATTCAAGGGTTTGTTGTATCCGTAATTTTCTAAACCATGTCCACCATTTTGCAATCCCTGATATCATTCATGATTTCACCTAGGATTTAAAATAAAGACTGAGTATTTCTGAGTAGTTCAACAAGTGCTGGAGATTGTGGTACTCAGTTCATATAAACTTTTTACTGTTTTCATGAAAAGGTTTAACAAAAACAAAAAACAAAAATTTTAAAACTTTTCCTTTCTCACACTATGCATTTCTTGTTGTTCTTTGATCCTGGTGTGAAACGTCCTAGAACAAAGTTTCCAGCTTCAAAAACACAACTCACCACAACATATCCCATACATCACCATACATCCCAGTCATTGTGATTACGCACTACTGCAAACCTGTGTGAGTGTGAGTTGGGTTTAACGCCGCTTTTAACAGTATTACAGTTATATGTCAGCTTAATGTGGGAGGAAAGCCCGAAGTGATGCAGGTCTCAGACGTTTACCACGTTGGTAAAACCAACGAGCACGGGTATGGTGCTGACAAACCTAGAAACATAATCGGGGTGAACCAGGATTCGAACCCACAATCATAGCATGTGAGTGTGAGATAGGATTAGTATATACAATTTTTTTTACGATATTGCAGCACTAGAAATCAGCAGGGCTGAGAGAAGACTTCTGTAATAGATTGGTATAAGCATGTCATATCCATGTTCATTATTACCATGTTGTATTACCCTGGTTTAACAAAAACGTCCACTGTATTTCCACAGTTCCGCTCCCTGTTCTTCGGCCTGTCTCAGTCCCAGTCTACACAGAGTCAAGCCCCGCCCCAGCCCACCAGTGTCCTGGCGGCAGACACAGACGAGGAGGATTAGGACGTCCAGCAGCAGTTTTAACCCGAGACTGTCATCAGCACATGAAATTATTGAGAATTTTACTCTGTACATAGTTGTACAAAGTCATTGTTAATATATGGATTCATGATGTACAGGTTCATTAAACTATTGCATCAGTCAACCATGTCTTTGGTTGGTTCTCTTGAGTAGATCCACATGACCAGGGTAGCATTGTACAAAACAAAGGTAGACCTCATCTTCCCGAGGCAAGAGAGTTAACTGACTTTAAAAGTCGAGTTTCCACCCTTGCCGAACTAGGCTGGAATTCCTGGGCTCGATCGTAGCGCCACCAGTGGCTATTACCAGTTATGTCCCTTCTAAGCCTCTCCTATGGACCAATCAGATTCCACCTCTCGTATCATTTGCATTTTCTTCAAACAAAATGGCAGTGCCACGTCAGGACAATCGGCTTGATAATCATGATCTATATTGTGATAAAACGGGTCTAAGATCGCGAAATGCATCAAATCACGTGAGCACCTTGATTAACAACATGAAAGATTTTGAAAATATCTGTTGACAATGATTTGGCGGTGCACATGCTTTGCAAATCCTGCAATCAACCGAAATCTGCATGACAGTTTACGAACCGGATTTGATTTTGATTTGACTATGCATAGACTCGTTCGTCCAGCCAAGTTGTAAAGCCATAATACCAGCCTAGTTCAGCAAGGGTGGAAACTGGACTTTTATAGTCAGTTAACTCACTTGCTTCAGAAAGATGAGGTAGACCTATGATTGTCGTAAGTCCATGCTAAGGTATTGTAGTATGATCACCCTAGCGTTAAGATCACTTTGTACAGTGATTGACATCATGAGCATCAATCTACGCAATTGGGATACAATGACATGCATTGACCAAGTCTGTGAGCCTGACCACCCAATCCTGTTAGTCGTCTTTTACGGCAAGCATGGGTTGCTGAAGACCTATTCTACCCGGATCTTCATGGGTAAGTTGTGGTTGGTAACATCCATTCATATATATTCTGTACCCATGATCATTCCTAAATTGCTACTGCCTCTGTGGTCTAGTGGTAGAGCGTCTGCCCGGAGAGTGGAAGGTCCAGGGTTTGATCCCAGACGTTAAAAGATGGTACTTGTTGCTACCCTGTCTGGCGCTCGGCATTAAGGGGCTAAAACAAGGACTGGTCGGCTTGGAGTCAGTATACTGTGTCTGAGTGGGGTATTCATGTTGAACTGCGGCATGGTATCTCAGCTAAAACTAGACCACGGAGGCGAACTCATGTACTCTGAAACATATCCTCTACATAGTGGTGGTCTGCAAATATTCAAATCTAGACAAGACAATCCAGTGATTGACATTATAAGCAGGGATCCATGCCATCAGTGTATGATGAAATGCTATCAACCAAGTCACTGTGCCTGACCACCAGCCTCATAAAACAAGTATAGGTTGCCGGGACAACTTCTAAACCAGAAACAGGGGCATGGGTGGCCCGGTCGTCTAAGGCGCTGCGATTTGCTGTGCAGAGTTGCGTCCCTTGGGCACGCCACAAACCTATGATTGTGGGTTCGAATCTCGGTTCGCCCTGATTATGTTTCTAGGTTTGTCAGCACCATACCCGTGCTCGCAGGTTTCAGGGAAGTGGTAAACGTCTGAGACCTGCATCACTTCAGGCTTTCCTCCCATATTAAGCTGACATGCCATGATATAACTGGAATAGTGTTAAAAGCGGCGTTAAACCCAACTCACTCTTTCACACCCAGAAACCCCCAAGGCACAATGTAGTCCCACTGTCACCCCCAGCATTTAAAGACAAAGACAAGGATATCCACGACTGAAAAATCTGGTTTATTTGATATCAACATTCACCTAAACAATCCAAGCACACCAAACTGATTGTAAATAAAGTACAGGGTAGCATTCACAAAGTCTGAAAACGATATTAATAGTTGAAGTCCAGTTAAACCATTCGGTCTGTGACTCATTATGAGGTTATGAACACAAACATGTATCTCGCATATTTACACAAGGCATGATGAGGATGAGGATGAGTATATTCATGTTCATTGCTATTTACAAGCTGAAAGGCTCGACTTGTTCAGTGTTTGTAACCATGGTAATGAAGGTTCTCTCACCTGTAAAATCTATCACAAATATTCACTATTTTGAAAAGGATGAAATCGTAAATACAGGATAATAACCCCTTGTTAATAATACGGCATTAATTTATCATGAAGTGGGAAAATAACCAGGACGGTGATTTCGTTAGGCGACACTTTTTTTCTTATGGTTTACAGATTTATAGACCGTGCTACCAATTAACTTGGGTCTGTCAAAATGAAAATAGAAATAGATTTTTATGCGTATATTTTTTATTTTGTTAGTATGAAAATGTTCTGTGGGTCAATTTACTGAACGAAAATTAATGGGTATAAAGTGGAGCTTGATTTTTGTCACAAACAACACATTTGATCTTTAATTATTTCAGAAGTTAACAGTGACTTTTAACTTGTATGATTTTGGCAGTTTTATTAATATAATTTCCATCATATATACATGTAATGTGATCAGGCAAAAGAAAATGTTCAAACAATTATTTTCTGTTTGTTGCTAATGGCTCCGGTCACTCAAATCAGTCAACTAAATATAAAAAAATGTGTCGCCTCAGCTTGATCCAATACCTGTGAGCCATAATCATCTCACATGGGAAATCTTTCCCTGCAGCCTCTCTGGGACACATTACCAGAACATGTGAATCAGAGAAAAGTATTCAATCATTTTATCCGTTGGAAATTGCTTTTATTTTGGTGTACAGGTACAGTGTTCAAACAAATAGCCCTTCTTCTGGGAGTTCAATCTCATTAAAATCAATCACCGCTAAACAAAGATCTGAGGACATCCCATTACGGGTCACGTCAGACTGACCTTGCGCGAACTTTGACCGACCAATGGATTGACCAATCAGAAGGGAGCTTTCTCGTGCTTATGCATTTATGCATTTCGAGGTAGAAATCCCATTCTGACTGTCACTTTCATAATCTGGTAAGCGATGCTCTGATTAGTCGGATGAAAGGTCGTTCTGATGCGACTGCTTATGGGATGTCTTCAGATCTTTGTTCAGCAGTAGCGAGAACTAAGGTCTGATTTTAATAAGATTGGATGGGAGTTAGGAAGATGGTTGTTTTCCAGTGGGTTTCTCAACATGTACTTCATCCATGGATAAAGGAGCTCCATACAGTGCATTTATCATCCTTCAACTGCAAGCATTGACATGTGCCAGCACTGTCCCGAGTTTGTGTAACAGTTTGGACGGTCCCACTAGAATTTGGTCCTCCTCCTTTCAATTTGTGCAGGAAATGTTCACAAAGCAATCTTAACGCAACAAGCGTAATTTATCCTTGCGAGAGCCTTGTTGCTAAGATCGCTTATGAAACAGTTCCCAGGGTTCCATTCCACAAAGCCGTCTTCACATTATGACTATCATAAGCCCTATGTTAATAGTATAGGAGTTATTATCATCTTAAGATCGCTTTGTAGAACAGAGCCCAAGTTTTAAACTTTTGATACTCAATTTCAAACATTGCAGGTATTTTAGATATGAATTAAGGACATTTTCTTACATATTACAATTGAAACTTATTAAGTTTCCATGTCCACTTCCTCTCCTGGTTAGTGAGATGTTACACGCCATGATGACATCATCAGTTTCTATGGCAACTCATCAACTGATGAACTAGACTACTGACACAACTGTGTACAGCTCCACAGCATCAATCCTGGATACAACATGATTATTGGACATCTTAATTGCATTGGACTGCATAGTGAAGGAACCTTGCATTCAAAATCAGATATATCCAATTCTTTCAAACATTTTTATAAATATTTCAAACAGTATAGCTATTGAATTCATCATTTAATTTCTTGTTACGGCCAACATGCCAAAAATCAAACAATTCTTTTAAATGGTAGGTTAAGTCGAGGTTAATTCCTGAGAATACCCTCTTCAAATAAAGATTGATAAAATATGCTTAGAGGGATATCTCTTTTCATCTTATGCCCAATTTATGGTAGACTCTGAACTGAACTTGAGACAGAACGTTTCTATATAATTGCAGAAAAATAATTTTTGAAAAAACCCATTTACCTTCAGAGTTTGACCATATGCATGTAAAATGCAGATTTGGGTGGAAACAATTTGATAAGGGACAAAAATAATTTAGCACTATCCATTTTTTACTGAAAACAAGTATCACATAAGTGCAAATACAAAATTTATATTCAACATCAATCACACCTACAAAAGCTTTCTCACAATTCACAAACCTCAAGAGTACTTGTTTGATTTATGTCAAAGTTTGTTTCAATTCAGCCTTGAATCTAAACGAGATGATATGAAAATAACTAACCACCCCTCCAAAAGAAAACCAATCTCACTAAAACCACATCTTATATTTCAATACGCCTCTCTGCATGAAGATCTGAAGATACCTCCTCAGACGACTGGGCCAACCGTGCACCCTGATATGACAATAAAGTCCAATATGTCCATAGTTTGTGTAAGTACTAATGAGGCTAGTTGGGAGATGTTAGTTCGAGGGAACACCACTCCAAATGAATACTGCTCACAATAATATATTCAGAGGTATTTCTAGTTTTCCAATATCGCAATTTATACAAAATTTGAACCTTACTGATTCTTTTTTATACATTTAAAGCTGAGGGTGTTTCATGGTTAAGCGATCAGACAGATAGAGGTTTTCTGCCATTGCCTGTGCAAGGAATTTGATTGGTTGATTAGAAACTTGTACTGTCAGGGAAAAACATCATCTCATTTAGATCCATGGCCAAATGAAAACAGCAAACAAAGATCAAATAGACGAATGAGGATCTCCATTCTGATTGGTCATTAAAAAATATACACTTTGACATTGGAAAAGACAAGGCATGATAAGGGCTCATTTTGGTCCGTGTGATCTGCATAATTTAAGAAATTGGCAAATCCTTTGGAAATTACACGGTCAATTTTTCTAACAACTGTAAATATATAGGTGAGGATAACATGTGTCAAAGAGGCTCATTTTAGATGTTTTCAGAAAATGTTTTTTCTAATATTTGAACAAGTTTCTTGAGCAGATGTAGATAAAATCAGTACCATAATATCGTACAAAATTCATCAGTAATATTAATTTGGACATTTCAAATGTGGCAAGAATGGCCCTTATCCTGCCTCGTCCTCTCTTCCCAATATATCCAACTAATAATTTTCACATGCACATTGGTACTTCTGTGTATGAGAATCTGTGAATACTGCAATATCTACAACCTTGCTAACTATAAATAAACAAGGGCCAAGTTCCACAAAGCAATCAAGGTGCTAAGATGATCGTAACTCCAATACTTACGACTGTCGTAGCGCTAAGATTGGTTTGTAGAACAGGGTCCTGGTTAGACATCAGTAATGAAAATAAACATTTTGAAAGACAACGATATATATGACATGCTACACACTTAAACAGATGAAACTGAAATGAACCTGTCTATGTATGGCTGTGTATGAGGTGTGAAAACAGGGTGCTGATGTGACAACTCCTGGGACCACATGCACAAAGGGATCTTAGCGCTAAGGTCACGTTGTACATGTAGGCCCTAGGAGCCAGAGACAACACTGCTGCCTTTAACAACAAAAATCGACATGACAGATATTTTCCTGATGAACTAGAGTATGGTCACATTTCAAGGAATCACAATGTTGAAATTATGTGAGTTTGGTTTCGCGCTGCTTTGAATGAGTGAGTATGGTTTTATGCCGCTTTTAGCAATATTCCAGCAATATCACAGCGGGGGACACCAAAATGGGCTTCACACAATGTACCCATGTCGGGAATCGAACCCTGGTCTTCGGTGTGACGACCGCCCCACGCCGCTTTGAACAGTATTTCAGTCATGTAACGGCGTGTCAGCTTAACGTGGGAGGAAAGCCAGAAATGATGCAGGTATTAGATGTTTAACACTTTGGTGAAACCCCCATGCATGGGTTCAGTGCTGACAAAACCTAGGACCAATCAGATTCGAACTGACGATCACATGTTTCAGGCACTGCTAAGGGACGTAAGTCTGCACAGCAAACCACGGCACCTGGGCAACCTGGGCCCCACCAAAAATTGAGGTGGGTTAAAGCATTTATTTAAATTAAACATTTTGAATGTTTTGTCTTATGTGACAACCCCAATGGTCGCACTACTGGTAACAAACACTTCATATTGAAAACATTATTTGATGAAAAGGACGTTAGCATACATTAAGTTGTAAGAATATTTACATTCCTGATCTGTTATTGCAGCTGAGTATTAGTCTTTAACAAGAAAATCCTGCATTTGGGATAATGAAATATGGTTATTTTTCACTTATTATCGACACTTCCACCATGTGACCATGACACCTGAGGATCAGGCAAACACTTGATACAGCTTTTCTTGAGTAGACTAAAACAGTCCCATGAGATTCTATTTGGAAAAGAGAATGAATAATTTAAAAAGAAAATTAAATGGTTGATTTCCAGCACATTCACAAAATGAAGAAAAAGAAATTATATAGAAAATTTCATTGTTACACTTTCAAATAATAATCTGAAACAAAATTGTCATGCTGCACTTCACAACTCCTTACATTGGGTACAGGTATCAACATACTGACCAGATAAAGCAACCACTGAATGACCCATGACAGGTGGACATGCCCCATGACAGGTGGACATGCCCCATGACAGGTGGACATGACCCATGACATGTGGATATGACCCATGACATGTGGACATGACCCATGACATGTTGACATGACCCATGACATGTGGACATGACCCATGACATGTGGATGTGACCCATGACATGTGGGTGTGACCCATGATATTTAGGCATGACATGATGTATGGTCGTGATGCTTGACGTGTGGGTGTGATCCACGACATGTGGGCATGACCCATGACATGTAGATGTGACCCTTGACAAGTGAGTGTGACCCATGACATGATGTCTGGGCGTGACCCATGACATGTGGACGTGACCCTTGACATGTGGCCATGATCCATGACCTATGACATGTGGCCATGTGGACGTGACCCTTGACATGTGACCATGATCCATGACCTATGACATGTGGCCATGACCCATGACCTATGACATGAGAATGTGAACCCTGACATGTGGACATGACACTATGTATGGGTGTTACCGATGACATGTATGCATTAAAAAGGGACACACCCAAGTAACAATGAGAAACAGAAAAGATTACACAGCATCTCGTGTTTATCAAACATGACCTAACAAGACAGGAATCGAGGATCTTATCCAAGGTCAAACTTTATAGTAGTACTAGCTGGTTCCACAAAACCATCCTAGAACAACAAAGCTTATATCTTATTGTGCTACAGACAGAAAATGGCGAGTAAGTTTGGGTTTAATGCTGCTCTGAACAGTACTTCAGTTTCAGTGAGTGAGTTTGGTTTTACGCCGCTTTCAGCAATATTCCAGCAATATCACGACAGGGGACACCAGAAATGGGCTTCACACACTGTACCCATGTGGAGAATCGAACCCGGACCTTCAGCGTGACGAGTAAACGCTTTAACCACTAGGCTACCCCCACACCTCACTTCAGTTATAAGCAGCTTGATTTGGCCAGTTATATTTTGTTATCTGTGGTCAGCTGTAAATATTTGACCTCATTCTAACCAATTCACCTGGAAAAAGACAGTCCAGTGCTGAGACTGTTTTGTGAAGCATGCCTTGTACTAAACATTTAATATTAGAATTTAGTAATTCGTTAAAAACAGACAAGTTACATTGTAGCATAACATATCCCCAAGCATGTCTGAGCATTTTGAGCAAAAACAAATGATTAATGACTGTGACAAATATGTAGAAACAACATATGTCGCGATGGTATGGTGTATAATAATGAAGGCTAAATACTCCTTGTCAAGACTGATGCAATTTTCAAAAGTGTCCAAGCAGCAATTTTCATGTTATTTCAGAAAGATTTGAATAATATTTACTATGTGAATCTGATAATATGAACGCTGATTGATTTCATGTGTTTTCTTGTTACCATCGTAACTCATGATAAAGTGAAAGTTATTATCATAACACTACCAACACAAACATTAAATACTAAGAACTTAAGTTTTTTAAGCTGGACAAATAGCTGGAAAATCAAGAAATGCATGTCAGGAATAATTCAAGATTATATCAATGTTGTCTTATGCTGCATTGGCAATATTCAAGCAATATGATGGCAGTATTTTACATGATTACAGCAAAATATATAATAAATATAGGAACTCGTATGTTATAAGATCATTTAATCATTGTAAAGAACTTTCATTTACGATTGGCGAGGTTGACACAAATATAATTTAGGTAAATAATTGAAGAAAACCATCAACATTACATTGATACACAAATTTCTCTTAAGAAATATGGTATCAATTTCTACTTAACTCACTTAACCCATTCACAAAATCCTCTAGATATGGAAAAGTATAAAGATATTCAATTCCAAATGAAACTAGAGATCAGATTATGCAAAGTGATCAATGAATTGCATATTTTTCTATGGAATTCTAACATGTAATCTCCTTTGGGAATATTTAATAGCACCTAACATTCACAGCTGTTACTCATGTGGGGAATCAAACCCAGACATCAGAGCAGTGGCACTTTCAGCTGGGCCACCTTACATAAGCATAACCTCTGACAACACAAAACAGCCGATTTCAGACCATGTGTTAACTGAGAAATGAATCTCTAAAAACTTAATCAGGTTTATGTGCATGTTTTGTCCAGCATATGGACCAATATAACATTATTACCGTATTCAATGTATTACAAGCCCTCATAAACTATCAGCCCACAATACATTTTGAAAACAAATATTCAACTACCGTATTCGTCGTAATAAGCGCCCTGGGCGCTCTCAAAATTAGAAATAGGGGGCTCTTATTAGAATATTTTTTTGGTAAAAAAACAAGGTTGAAAGATACATTTTGTGGTTTATGCTGACAGCCTGAAATGTTTATGTACGACAGATATATTTTTCCAGAATTTAATTCCCCATAATTAACGGTGCATATAACACACGAGTGCGTATTATACGCGAATAAATAAGTCTTGTGTACATTGATCAATCGGAAGGGGTGCTAATTGGGATTTTTCACTCGCCAATATATTAGCAAATATCGCCGTAGGCGCTTATTAGAGCGGGGTGCTTATTACGTCGAATACGGTAATCTTTATAAAGATAAGACCTCAACATTTTCTTATTCGTGTAATTACCTTTACGATGTAGTGAAATATACTGTTCAACATTTGATAGGGATACCAAACTGATTATGTTAAGGAACTCATGAAGAAATGTTGAGTGGTATACAAATGGTATGTTCAAAAGTTTATAAACTTATAAACAAAAGTTATATAACAATCAGCCCTACTTATAAACAATTTGTGTTTGCTTGGTGAGGACTAACACATCCAATATGATAATTATGATAGTGACACTGAAATAACGGAATACTGTGTGGGAGAAACAAAACATATATCTTACAACTGATTACAATTAAGTACAAAATGTTGCTGTGCTGTTTATTTGTGCATTTACTCCAATACTGATGATATGAAATCAAAAGAATCATAATTCAAACGAGTCATCGCTTCACTAGACACTACTCATGCCTATCTTGTACTTGCCTGGTATTTTCGTTTTGTTTTTGGCACAAAATCTCTACCTTGTGAAACTGAAGGTAAACAGGTCATGACCCAAAAAGGTCATAGTCAGATCTATAGTAGCCAATCAGATTACACATACTATAACCTAATTTGTTACATGGAATGCTATTGGCTCACTCTGCTCTATCTCTCAACTACAAACACACACCACACAAACTCCTGACATAACTGACAGTGTACGGAGCCCACTGCTAGGTTTCACCAAGACTTGTCACCCTTGCTACTATCACTGTGATATCGTCGGGCTTTCCACCTGTAAACATAAAACAGAGGTAAAAACTAACAGTTTTAGCCCATTAGTCCTTATAATGATAACATATAGCAAAACCCCTAAAAAGGGCAAATTTCTACTTGTCCTTAGGATACCTTAATATTGGGCAGTTTGGCTAGGACTATAGGACTAGTGCCAATTTTTAATGCTGTAAAACATTTTAGTTCTACCAATAAACTGACAAGCAGCTCAAATGTATAAATCTTGTTGATATCTATCTATATATTTCTTATTTAGTCATGTTAATGGTTTACAGCTGTTTTTCTGGTTATTTCATTTGACATGACATGATTGTTGGTATGATGATTGAGTGAGTAAACGAGTTTGATTGAATGCCGCTTTGAACAGTATTTCATTTATATCATGGCGTGTTAGCTGGATCTGGGAGAAAAGCCCAAAGTGATGCAGGTCTCAGACGTTTACCACATTGGTGAAACCCATGAGGTCAGGTATGGTGATGACAAATGAAGGAACACAATCACTACAAAGATAATTGCAGCACGTTAGACAAATGGACCCCATTCCACACACTCCTTCAACATTACGAGCACAATTGACTGGGGTTGGGCAACTAACAGTGCAAGCCTTGATTATCCATCTTGTGTCCCTTCTGCTATGATAGATATTCACCACCATGGCTTCGTTTCAGTAGTGAGTGAAGTCGCTTAAATGCCATTTTGTACAGCATTCCAGTTATAAGCGTGTCAGCTTAATGTGGGAGGAAAGCCAAAGTGATGCAGGTTTCAGACGTTTACCACATTGGTGAAACCCAGGGGTCCGGAAAATTTTAAATCCCAATCGGACATTTGCATTTAGGCCACGCCCCCTTCAAATAGCGTATTTTAGTACGACTTTTCACACACATTACAAGTTTACGTATTCATAATATGATGAATTATGAATTGTTTCAATTTAAATTGTTTAATTCACTGGACAATTAATAACAAATAATATCATTTTAGATTTACATGGAAAACATACGTTTGTTTCTGTTATAATAACGATCTGTTAACGTAGTGAACGGTCTAATTAATATTCATGAGTTATATTCATGAGTCTGCTCAAGTGTACGCATTGTAACATTTGGATCGAGACTATTATCCCATATTTGGTTATCACGTGACCTCACGGGAAATGTTTTAAATAAAGATTTTTTTAAAAACAAGACAGATAATTTAATCACAAATACTAAAATATCGTTGATAGCAATAGTTATTTGAATACTTTTTTCATCTGTACTTGTTTATTGACCATAAAAAAATTGGATATCGATCGTCCGAGAAAGCAAAATGGCGGTCAATCAAGATTCAATTTACGACTAGCTCCTGAAAACAATAAAATCTGCAAATCCTCATTGTATGTCAACCAAGTGAAAGTCGTTAGTCACGACTTACAAAATGATCGTCCAGACTTTGAGGGTTTGGCAGATCCGCTCGACTGATCTGCATCGGTCGACTGGCTGTCGTCACGCTTTTGCTTCTTGTCTGAGGTTACGTATCGTAGCATTGTGAGGATAATGAGGTACATCGATGAGGATGAGGATGCAAGGTATTAATGTACAGTTGTAAACACCTTTCACTCAAATTAACAAGATGTTCTCAGTAATAAATCCTCGATTAATCAGTGTCAACTCAGTTTATTGCCTATTACAGTGATTGACCGATTGGACTATCATGTAGGTACGATGTATTTACAGCAATCAAAACAAACAAAGCTTGTCAGTGTAGTTAATCTTCATTGTGTTGCAACTGCAGACAGAAACTTCTCAGTCCTAACTGTTGATCATGTCCAGTCAAAATTTAAGAATGTCCGGACAATACTTTTTAAAATGTCCGGTAAGCAATATTTTAAAACGGACATTTGAGATTCCGAAACGGACATGTCCGGCGCATATGACGGTTTCCGGACCCCTGGTGAAACCCACAAGCTCAGGTATGGTGATGACAAATGAAGAAACACAATCACTACACAGCTAATTCAATTGCAGCACCTTACACAACTGGACCCCGTTCCACAAAGCGATCGTAGCACTAAGATAATTGTGAGCCGATGTTGAAAAATGGTAGTTACAACCACCTTGGCACTAAAATTGCTTTGTGGAACAGGGCCCTGGGACACATGTGCCCATGTATTGTGGGATTTGGGGCTAAAAACATGATTCGGAACAAATACATACCTCTGAATTCTATCCCAGCATCCATTGCCGACATAGCAAATGGTGACATGTACTCGGGGTCGAAGGACAGCTGGTAGGCCTTCTCAGCTATATTACTGGCAGTGGTCTGTACGGTCTCCTCCTTGTGATCCTGGAAAAATAAATACATGGGAGATAATTCAGTAGTCACACCAAGCGCATACCACAAGAAAATAAAACTTTTTCAGGTTATAATTTTGTTTGTTTATGCTGCTGTCAGCAATATTCAAGTTGCAAGGCAGCCTGTAAGCAATGAAGTCTGAGCCTGATATATTGGGTCTTAGACAACTGATATACTGGGTCAATGACATCAATATACTGAGGCATAGACAGCTGGTATACTGGGTCTTAGATAACTGATATACTAAGTCGTAGACAGCTGATATACTGAGTCTTAGAAGACTGATATACTGGGTCCCAGACAACTGATATACTGGGTCTTAGACAGCTGATATACTGTGTCTTAGAAGACTGATATACTGGGTCTTAGATAACTGATATACTATGTCGTAGACAGCTGATATACTGAGTCTTAGAAGACTGATATACTGGGTCTTAGACAACTGATATACTGAGTCATAGACAGCTGATATACTGGGTCTTACAAGACTGATATACTGGGTCTTAGACAACTGATATACTAAGTCGTAGAGAGCTGATATACTGGGTCTTAGAAGACTGATATACTGGGGCCTTAGACAACTGATATACTGGGTCTTAGACAACTGTATTATACACAGTGTTAGAATACTGATACACTGGGTCTTAGAATACTGATACACTGGGTCATAGACAACTGATATTATATCAGTTGCCTAACAAATCTGGGTCCTAGACAATTGATATACTGGGTCCTAGACAATTGATATACTGGGTCCTAGACAACTGAAATACTGGGTCCTAGACAACTGAAATACTGGGTCCTAGACAACTGAACAACTGGGTCCTAAACAACTGAAAAACTGGGTCCTAGACAACTGAAAAACTGGGTCCTAAACAACTGAAAAACTGGGTCCTAGACAACTGAAAAACTGGGTCCTAGACAACTGAAAAACTGGGTCCTAAACAACTGAAATACTGGGTCCTAAACAACTGAAAAACTGGGTCCTAAACAACTATAAAACTGGGTCCTAAACAACTGAAATACTGGGTCCTAAACAACTGAAAAACTGGCTCCTAGACACTGATATAAGAAGTTGAAGCAACATGTAACATGTAACCTTGAACATGTTGAAATAGCTAGAGCAACTTGAGGTTTTAAACATGCTGATTCAACATAAGAAAAGAATGCTGATGCAACATTTTGATAGCCTGGTATCAGCTTGGACAGTCCCGACATAGCAGGTGGATTAACTACAAATGCCTACATCACTCCTGACTCCAGGATGTAAACACCAGGATGAAGAGCTGTAACTAACACCATGCAGGACTACACAGTAGGAAGCGATTCACATTCCACCTCGTGGGCTGGACACCTGGTAACTGCCTGCCCACTTAAACATGTAGCATACCATATTCGACGTAATAAGCGCCCTGCTCTAATAAGCGCCCATGGCAATATTTGCGAATATATTTGCAAGTGAACAATCCCAATTAGCACCCCTTCCGATCGATCAAGTACACAAGACTTGATTCGTGTATAATACGCACTCGTGTGTTATATGCACCCTTAATTGGGGGCAATTAAATTCTGGAAACTATATCTGTCGTGTATGATATGCACATACTTTTCTTTTGTATCATTTCAGGCTGTCAGCATAAACTACAAAATTTACAATCTTTCAACTCTGTTTTTGTTCTCGCCAAAATTATATTCTAATAAGAGCCCCTTATTTGCAATTTTGAGAGCGCCCCGGGCGCTTATTACATCGAATAAGGTACTTGCAATATGTTCATAAGATAATCAGCAACTCTCAACTTTAATCCAACCATATCACAGTCAGGGAAACTAGAAATGGGCTTCATACTTTGTACAAAAACAGGGAATCAAACCCAGGCCACTGGCATGAGGCGCAAATGCTTTACCCACAGTGCTGTCATTTTAAAATATTATTGAACACTGTGCAATGAGTTACCCCAGATTATGACTAGTGTTCTATGTAACATAACTAGATTATAGTAGAACACGAGACATCCTTCCTGATTTTCTCTAGGACTTATGACTGGTTAACCTTTCCTGGTAGACATATCTGGTATAATCGAATGTATATTCGTCATAATCTCTTACAATGGAGACCACCTCCTTGGTCTGGTGGTAGAGCGTCTGCCCTGAGAGTTGAATGTCTTGGTTTCGATCCCTGGCAACATCAAAGATGCTAAAAGATGGTACTTGTTGTTACCCTTCCTGGTGCTTGGCATTAAGGCACGCACACAGGTCACTGAATAAGTGTAATAATCTTGAACATGACGTACATTCCCATTTCACCCCACCTCTTACATTGGAGTCAACCCAGTATCACAATGAGTCAGTGATACACAGTCATTCCTTACATGTCTTAATGTGTATTGTGATATTTTGATCAATACAAGTACATAATAGACCTACGTAGCATATACATATATAACACCAAGGATATTAGGAACCTATTCTATAAAAAAAACATCGAATAACATAAACATAAAAAATTTATGTGCCACCATTAATCTTATCATGCTTATTATCATGATTATGGTAATGAAATATGACCAATAAACATGATAAATACCACATGTTTCAGTGAATTTTTGTGTGCACAGCAAAAGACTATCATCAACCAGTCAGTCAGTCAGTCAGTCAGTCAGTCCATCAGTCAGTCAGTCAGTCAGTCAGACCATCAGTCAGTCAGTCAGTCAGTCAGTCAGTCAGTAAGTCAGTCAGTTAGACCATCAGTCAGTCAGTCAGTCAGTCAGTCAGACCATCAGTCAGACCATCAGTCAGTCAGTCAGTCACTCAGTCAGTCCCTCACTGCAGTACTTGCACACTATCATGTCACCGTGTCTGGGTTATGTTGTACATTGATTACACACAATTGATTTACAGCGCCTTGTCACAGAAACCAACGGCTCTGCATGTGGGAATCAATCAGGCATTGCAATGTATTATAAGCAGAACAAAGACGTGAACCAGTAGCAAGGTGTTAACAGTTGAAGCTGTACAGAGAACACAACAATCTGCCATCACAGTGTAACACAGGCTTAAGTCACTAAAACATGCCTCACATACTCCGACCATGACTAATCCCCAGTACCAGTGCCGTAGCCAGCTGGGGGGGGTGGGGTGGGGTGGGGGGGTGTGGGGGTGTGGGGGGGTGGGTGGGGTGGGGGGGTGGGGGGGGTGGGGGGGGGGGGGGGGGGCAGTTGCCCTCCTGGATTTTGTGAAAGTTAACTTCAATAAGAAATGAATAATCTTATTAACTACAGCCTTGAGTACAGTACATTCAATATCTTATTTTGCACCCTCAATTCCACTTCAGTGTAAACTGACTTGGTGGGAAAACATACCCAAATCAATTAATAGAATTTCAAACTGTGTACACTGTTACTTCTTGAAATGCCAGGGAAAGTGTTCAGATAGCGAAAAACATTTAATCATTGACAGTAATGTGAAAGAGAATGTTCTTTCATCAGGCAGATACAGCATTGGTATAGCACCCTGTGGGGACTTGCATGGATCGTTGCTCATATCTCTAGATTGTCTGGTCCAGGTTAGATTAGTTACGGGCCGCCATCATAGCTGGAATACTGCTGAGTGTGGCATTAAATAAGAAACAATAGTGCAGCAACACCATGATATTCATATCTGAAACTGACACCTTTCTGTTAGTCCGTAAAGTCATATTTTATGTGTATATCATTGAAATATTTAAAGATTACCCCAGTCTCAATCAAATCTGATCTTTTTTTCCTGATACAGTATCTCCCTGCATGACGATCTGAGGCCATCTCCATTAGGGTAGGGGGTTGTGTCAGATGAACTTCCTAATCAGCCAATCAGCATCAAAGCTTCTAAATTCATGGTACGAATGAGTGAAGCATTCTGACAAGCATATCTGATTTCTGTATCTTGAAACGAAGTTCATTGGCCTGTTCCCATTATAAATAAGTGAAAACAGTGAGATCCCAGGCATATAGCTTCACCTTGACCTTGGAGATATACATGTCAGTAAGATCCCGAACCTATGACCTTGCCTTTACCTTGGAGATATAAAAACATATTATGAGATGCCTGACTTATGACCTTTACGTTGACATTGGAGATATATATAATAAAACATCATTAGTGAGATCTTTAACCTATGACCTCCACTTTGACCTTGGAAATATACTCACTCCTGTAACATGTCATTAGTGAGATCTCTGACCTTTGACCTCCACTTTGACCTAGGGAGATATACTCACTCCTGTGACATGTCATTAGTGAGATCTCTGACCTATGACCTCCACCTTGACCTTGGAGATATACTCACTCCTGTGACATGTCATTAGTGAGATCTCCGACCTATGACCTCCACCTTGACCTTGGAGATATAATCACTCCTGTGACCTGTCATTAGTGAGATCTCCAACCTATGACCTCTACCTTGACCTTAGAGATATAATCACGCCTGTGACTTGTTATTAGTGAGATCCCTGTCCCTTAAACTCACGTTGACCTTGGAGATATACTCCTGTAACATGTCATTAGTGAGATCTCTGACCCTTGAACTCACCTTGACCTTGGAGATATACTCCAGTAACATGTCTTCCTGCATGTTGTCAAAAAGACCATCAGTTCCTAACAAGATTATGTCTCCTTCTTCAACTCCAAATGATGTACTCTCTGCAACCTCGGGGCTGAAATAGAAAATAGTTTCTTCACTGACAAGAAATGGAAAGAATAGATAAAAAGTCAGTCCAGAAATGGTACTTATCATGTTTTCAATATTTGTCATTGCAAACAACAATTTCAATATGACTGCTGAGATGATCTATGTAAAGGTTTCATCCCATTATGCCTTATGGGTTAAGATTTTAGGTTTGAAAAAAGTAAAAGGGTTTGCAGTGGACAGAGACTATATATAATGCTTTGATCAATTAGATTAATATTAAAAAGTGTGTTTAAATCTTTCTAATCCATCAAAGATCGGGCCATCTGATATTCTGATTTTTATCTCCTGTCCGTAAACTGAAAAACTGTATCGCTGAAGCTGATCACACCGTGCACCTACCTATCACTGAGGACAAGTCCTTGCTGATTGGGTGGGGCGACAGCAAGCTGGAAGGGGGTGTTGAAGTAGTGCTGTTGCTCCAGCGACCGATGCACCACCTCGCCTTCACGGATGACAAGGAAGCCGCTGTCCCCAAGGTTGGCAGAGTATATCGTCCTCTCTTCTCGATGGAGTGCCACCAAACAGGCAGTACTACTTCCTGCACCAAGCACAACATTTTCTTAAGATAACTTGGATATTTTCCACAAAGGTAAGGTGTGTTGAATGGGGTTTAACATCATGTTCAAGTTTATATTATTGTGTGTGGCTGCGGTGTATGGCTGCTTCTACTAATCCGAACTCATGGTGTTTTTTTTAGCACTAGCCCACTGAGATACCATGCAACAGTTTAACATGAATACCTGACTCAAACACAGCATACTGACTCCAAGCCCACTAGTCATTGTTTTATTCCCTTACTGCCAAACAAGATCCAGGGTTAGTTTGCAGGGCAGGGTATGTTTGTTGTTGAACGCAGCACTCAGCAATATTCCAGCTATATGATGACGGTCTGTAAATAATCTAGTCTCGACCAGACGATTCAATGATTGACATCATGAGCATCAATCCATGTAATTGGGATACGATAATATGCATCAACCAAGTCAGCGACCCTTACCACCCCATCCCGTTAGTCGCCTCTTACGACAAGCATAGTCGCAACCATGGGTTGCTGAAGACCTATTTTACCCCGGATCTTCACAGGCCTATGCAATGTAACAAGTACCATCTTTTAACATCTTTTGGTGTGACTTGGGCAGGGGATCGAACCACCAACCTCTATCCACCCAGCTGAGCTAACAACCCACCAATATCATAAGTGATAACTTCTGATGCATGAGTTCCTGTTAACATGGAATATCCAGTTGAGCTAACAACCCACCAATATTAAAAGTAAAAACTTCTGATGCAAGTGTTCCTGGTAATATGAAATATCAAATTGAGCTAACAACCCACCAATATTATAAGTGATAACTACTAGTGTGTAAGTTCCAGGCAACATGACAACCAGTTGAGCTAACAACCTACCTACAAGCAGCACTTTCTGTTCCATGAGTTCCTGGTAACATGACAACCAGTTGAGCTAACAACCCACCTATAAGCGGCACTTTCTGTTCCATGAGTTCCTGGTAACATGACAACCAGTTGAGCTAACAACCCACCTATAAGCGGCACTTTCTGTTCCATGAGTTCCTGGTAACATGACAACCAGTTGAGCTAACAACCCACCTATAAGCGGCACTTTCTGTTCCATGAGTTCCTGGTAACATGACAACCAGTTGAGCTAACAACCCACCTATAAGCGGCACTTTCTGTTCCATGAGTTCCTGGTAACATGACAACCAGTTGAGCTAACAACCCACCTATAAGCGGCACTTTCTGTTCCATGAGTTCCTGGTAGCTGGCGGCGATGACCGTGGCCGGAGCCTGTGGACGGAAGCAACCCTCTTGGACCATGCGTTCACATGTCGCCATGAGGGTGCGGGGGAACGCTGAGGGGTCGATGCCATAACTTCGCCACCCACCAACGCCATCGGCTACCCCTAGGGAGAGAGAGAGAGTGATAAGCATCAATTGTCATGCAAATAATGCACTGAATCTGAAACATCGTCACCACAGGGTAATGAAATAATACACTGCTAATTAATGAAATTAGGAAGTGACATTTACATCCTCACTTAGGAGATTGCAAACCTCCAGGTACCAGCACATATTTTCAAATGATGTGGTTGTTTTAGAACCAAACAATGGCCGTCTGGTTTGACATCTGCTGCTGAATTAATTACCATGGCAAGTTGGCAACAGTGCAGTGCAGTAGTTACACTATTTCAGAAATATACAGCAAGTATATATACAGTCCATGGAACACAGTACTCTCATATGTTAACATCTGCACTGCACTGCACTGCACTGCACTGCACTGCACTGCGATGCACTACACTGCACTGCACTGAGCATGAACAGACTGAGTTTATCAAACAACAACAAAAAATTCCTATGATTACTGGAAATGTTCAAAGTCACTTTATAATCAAAAACACCGTGAGAACAAAAAAGGTGTTAATATTTCAGGTAAAGACAGAAGCAGCCAACCTGAGTCTGTCTAGAGAATAAACAAAGAGAAAACAATCCAACTCAAGTCTAGCAAGTCTCTCGATTGCTCTGAAATTAAGCATTGTTCTGGGCTCCATTTCATAGTTACCTTTTACTTTATATAGATATAGACTGGATATATATATATTTAAATAAGATTCATTTCTGGAACTCATGTTAGCCTACCCAACCCCACCTTTTCCTTAACATGCTGAATGCCCCCAAACCTTCCTGAAGAAACATTCATCATGAACCATTTTGATTTTGACTAAACAATGTTTTTCTCTATTCAACTTCCCTAATCATGCTAATGTTGAATGCAGTACACCTTAGGCCTATGCCTCTTGCTTCACTAAACACACATAATAAGAACTTTCACTTTCATCTTCTAATCAATAACACACTGATAAGGTTGGTTGGTTGTTTTACACCACACTCAGCAATATTCCAGCTATATGACTGTGATCTGTAAATAATCAAGTCTGGACCAGACAATCCAGTGATTGACATCATGAGCATCGGTGATATGATGACATGCATCAACCAAGTCAGGGAGCCTGACTACCTGATCCTGTTAGTCACCTCTTACGACAAGCATAGTCGCCTTTTACGGCAAGTATGGATAAGGTGAGTAAGTGAGTATGGTTTTAAACTATTCCAGCAATATACCAGCAATATCATGGCGGGGGACACCAGAAACGGGCTTCACACATTGTACCCATGTTGGGAATCGAACATGGGTCTTCGGCAAGATGAGCGAACACTTTAACCACTAGGCTACCCGACCACCCAAGAAGCTGATCTGATGTGAATGACTTGCAGTTGTCTGCTATCTATACTATAATGATGATAATGATGTTTCTGTCACACTAGACAGGCTAGATGTGATAAGATAAACTAATCAGTTACAGCGTCAATACACATTAGCAAATATCATAATGACTGGTCAATTTCATCCCTTGATCACTGACAGGTGTTAAAATAACTGACAGATTATTCGTCAGTGACACCTGGCCCTCAGCAAACATGGTTTGGCAATAAAGTATTACCCTGGAATAGGATGTCATGGAAATAGTAATGTCTTAAATACCCTATGTAAACTTTCAATAACCAATGTGAATGATAACCTTTGAGCATGTTGAGTAAATATGCAATGGCTTCAAAAATATCTGGAGCCCTGTTGATATACCATATTCGACGTTATAAGCGCCCCGCTCTAATAAGCGCCCATGACAATATTTGCTAATATATTGGCAAGTGAACAATCCCAATTAGCACTCCATCCGATTGATCAATGTACACAAGACGTATTTATTCGTGTATCATACGCACTCGTGTGTTATATGCACCCTTAATTATGGGCAATTAAATTCTGGAAAAATATATCTGTCGTATATTAACAGTTCAGGCCGTCAGAATAAACCACGAAACGTATCTTTCAACTCTGTTTTTTTCCACCAAAATAATATTCCAATAAGCATGATAAGTGCCCCCTATTTCTAACTTAGAGAGCGCCCTGGGCTCTTATTACGTCGAATACGGTATATACTATTCTAAATAGGTTAAGGACCACCTGATTCTTTCTTATTACCAGAGTAAGTCTGTCATGGCATGACACTTTTAAGTGGTATAAGGCGGATTCATCACAATTGTTTTTTAATATGGGAAATATCAACCGAGTCTTAGTTAATCAGTATTTGCCAAGCCTTTGGCGAGGCAAATACCGATTAACGGGACGAGGTTGATATTTCCCATATTAAAAAGCACGAGTGATGAATTCTATTTATCATTTTCACATTTTTGCTTCCCTTTTAAGGAATAATTGCATTAACATTTTCATCAGCAACTTGTCTAAATCTTACGTATAGATCGTGCGTAGTGATACATGTTTTCCATAGCCGTGTAAACCAAAATATACAACCTCTTAACTCCTTTATGACATATTCCTTCGCTAATTTGCATACTTATGTCATTGGGGTATGACATACATGTTTTTATGTCATAAGCTTATGTCATGGATAAATGCTTTAGTTAAATGATAAACTAGTATATCATGCATGTTTGACATTCATTACACTACAGCAGTCTTGTGATGGTTTCTACATATTCAGATTAATTTATTCAGACATTGAGTTTCAAGGTCTGCAAAACAGACCAGCATCGTATATTCATTGTACATGTTGTAAGTAAACACGGTAAACATGGTGAAAAAGAAAACATTTTGTTTCTCCCTTGGTCCCAATCTGTTGGGTGTGTTGAACTCATGGGAAGATCCTTTTTTAATCATTGTTAATAATTCTGCTTAAAATGCTACTTTTGTTCCTGTGCAGGCCCAAGTGGGTGACACGTCTCATCTCTTCAAACACAGCGATATGTCTAAGTTACAATATGCGAGATGAATCACTCTTGTGCACTATTTATTGCAGTGAGTTCGTGTAAGTGTGATACCAGTAAACATGGCAAAGGAGCGAGCATGGCTTTATGCCGCTTTTAGCAATATTCCAGCAATATCACGGCGAGGGACACCCCAAATGGGCTTCACACATTGTACCCGGGTCTTCGGCGTGACAAGCGAACGCTTTAACCACTAGGCTACCTGAACGCCCCACATGGCAAAGGAACACATGTACACTAAAAGTCCTCTCACAATAATAGTAGGATGTCATCTCATTTCAATGTGTTAATAAATTTGTAACGCTGATGCTGTATCGAGACAAATTTATTATTATGGATCCTCATATGGACTTCATAATTGATGAAAGAGGTGAAGTTTTACTGTCTGAGGTAGCTTCCGGTTGCATAGGTGTGGTGTCGAAACGAGCTGTAGCCATGGCAGCCGGCATAGTAGGAGCCGTCTGAGATGCAGTTGCAGTTGTACAGTCCCTGGGTGGTAATGTCGACTGTCTGGAGCACTGAAGAGCCACAGACAAAGATGTAGAAGGGAAATAAAGTCCGAAGTCGATAAGGTAGTCTCATCTCTAGGATCTCACAAAGTCGGCAAAGATGCAGTTGCTGGTTAGACCACACCAGTAGAAGTTGCCGTATGGGGAGGTCGAGGTGTAGAAGCCGGTTAGACCATACTAGTAGAAGTTGCTGTATGGGGAGATCGAGATGCGATCTGCTGGACCATATCTGGCCCTACACGTAGAACATGGACGAGAAAAAAAAGGTCAATGTCGATCCTCATGAGGCGCATATTAATAGTAATCTGGCACCGATCGTTAGTCCGAGTAAGGGTGGTATCAGTGGTACCTGTGTTGATCAGGAGAGGCAAATGGGTAGTACCACATATGTCGATATCACTGAGAAGTGTATCAAGTCCAATCATGATCTCTGTTGTATCTGTAGCTTCTTGATGAGTGTCGATGGGAGCGTTGTTGAGTGTCAGAGTAAGATGATCACGACTGATCTGGATGACGATGTCGGTCGATAGAACTGGAGCGAATACGTTTGTAGGTGGAAGATTGATCTGTAGAGTGACGATACTTAGAAGTGTCGACATAAGTCTCATCTCCCTGAGACATCTGCTTATTATGAGGTCAATCTGAAGATCATAGCTGATACTCAGATGGTCAAATCCATGAGTGAGTGAATATGGTTTTACACCGCTTTTAGCAATATTCCAGCAATATCATGGCAGGGGACACCAGAAACGGGCTTCACACATTGTACCCATGTCGGAAATCGAAACCAGGTCTTCGGCGTGACAAGCGAACGCTTTAACCACCAGGCTACCTGACTGCCCCTAAACCTGTGATGATCAATCGGAAGAGTATCAATCCTTAGAACGTCTGTCCTTGGAATCTCGACCCTTGAAAGAACGATCCTTCAAATGTTGACCCTTGTGTTGCATCATTAGTGGTCGATCCTTGGAATGTTGATCCTTGGACTGGTGATTCTTCCCCTGTAAATCGTCTGATGCGGATCAGGAACACTCCCTACCCCTAATTCCAGTAGATGATGCTGAAGTCACACAGGAAGAGTCGATAGTAGCCGTGGCCGATAGAACCGGTGGAACCTGGAGAGAGGACGTAGAACGTGGCAGGACAATGTCTTCAGGTCAAACTCTGCCATCCGTGAAGGCAATGAAAGACGACTTTCACCTGGTGGTCAGAGAATGCCAGAAGCACCAGACTTTGGAGGTAGAACCGAGCACTTCTCAGACGTAGATGACAAGAGATTTCCCCGGAGATAGTGGACTCACGACCAGAAGCAATAAAAAAATATATGTATTTTCTACTTCATAACATGTCTCCACACTGTGGCAAAAAGAAAAAAAATGATCTGGCATAAGGTGTCAGGGGATCAAACCACTTAGATATAGTTAAAGTAAGGAAAGCCTTTCGTCCGTATCCCACTCCAAAAGTTATATATATTAAGATATAGCGTGTTTCTTCCAACTATACATGTTTTTGATAGGGGGAGAGGAGGGGGATAGGGGTAGAGTCTT